ACCCTGTGCTTCTGGGCTTCGGGCCTGCTTTGGTCTGGAGGAAGGACGCCTCAAAGGTGCGACAGTCCTGCACTGCTAGAGCGGCTCTTCACGACCCGCCCCGGTTGAAACCCTCAACTGCGCAGCGGCCGTTGGGAGATTGTCACTGTCCATACATGTCCATACCACATGGCGGCGGGCCTTCTACACGTGGGTGTGCAAGCTTGGGGAGCCCTGCATGGATGCACGTGACTCGTGACTGTCCCCATCCAGTCGAAATTTGGTGCACGACGTTTTTGTGCTCGGCCCTTTTTTGGGTCCAGCCCCACACCCACTCAGTTGCCACAAACTACGACACTGACACTGCCTGCGACAAAGGCGATGCGTGGTGGCTGCGAAATAGCATTGGTGTGGATTCCAGCCCACGAAGCCAACAAGGGAAGACACGACCAGCCTTTCGATGCTGGCTCCATGAGTGCGCTGACACTGAGGGGCGGCCTGTGCGCTGGAGCGCGACTGCTCGCCTCAAAAAACCAACGCCCGACAAGTGCGCGAAGTATGTGGCATTGGTGAGGGCGCTCAGCAAAAGCTGAAGATTGGAGGATCTTCCAGAGATTCCGGACTTGTGTCCGGAGCCTCCTTGAAGTTCATGTCAAAATTCCAATTTCCATGTATTGGGGGCGACTTGGGGGAACTTACGGCCGGTTCTTGGCAAGCTAAGGGAGACCCCAGGTCACCCAGGTCCTCATCATTCACATCCGAGCTGTCGGCCTGAGGCAGTCAGTAGCTTCATGCAACTGTCCGAGGTCCGCTTAAGAGCTTGGAAACTCCCGTGTCCGGCCTGCGCGGCTCGCAGAAGGATGAGCCACGCCAGCCACCGTACGCATGCAGCAGGCGACATGCAGCACATCACATCTACCCTAAAACCCCTAAACCCGAAACCCTAAACTTTAGTCCTAAACCCTGGACTCCGAAGCCAAGATATGGCAGCCATGAATAACGAAGCGCCCCCGAATTCCGAGGGCTTGGACGGTTCGGTCTGGCACGAGCCCACAGTTGCGAGCGCCACAAAAGTAAGGTGTAAGAAGGATAGCTTCTACGACTCACATGGGTTTGGGGTTTAGGGCCTGAGGGCTTAGAGCAGCAATCTCATATACATCCCAAGTCCATGTCAGGCTGTTTTGCTCTGGAGCGCACAACTCGAACAACTAAATCCTACACCCCAAACCCTAAACCCTAAACCCTAAATACCAGCTTAAAAGTTCATTGGGTTCGAGGATCTGTAGACTCGAATCTATGGCCAAAGGGCCAAAAGACCGCGGCTCACTGATGGTGGAGTCCAGTACCTGTACTGCTCTCGAACATGCAAACAGGTATGGATGTAGACATGCATATAGATGTAGATGTACAAGTGTACATATGTACGTAGACATACATACTTATAGGGATATACATATGTATATTCATATATGTATAGAGAGAGATGTATGCGTATGTACATGTGTACAGTTGTAATTATATATTTGACGGTATATGTTCATTCCATATCTACTTGCTACAGCTTATGTATCATTAACTTGTTCTTAGAATGTTCTGAAAGCAGCAAACGGTAGAAAAGGTCATGCTCAAAAGCAGCCCATGTGCCACATTGCTTTGATGCAGAGCTTGCAATAGGAGACCCAAAGCTGCTCGAGCTGCGTCAAGGAGTTCACAATAAGAAGCCTGCACCATGGGAGCTTCCCTGCACCTCGGGGAATCCCCGAAGCCTTTTGCATGGCCCCATCGATCTCGGCTTTGGCCACTGCGATGACTTCGTCGACGTTCTGAGCGCACCACTGTCGCACTTTGGCGTAGTGCCCATACCAGGGAAAGGGAGGCTTGTGGCTGGCGAGGGCGTTCCAGCTCGCCACCTTCTCAGGGTCGTTCATGATATCGTAGAGTAGGTGTCCTGTCATCCAGGCATTATGTACGTGCAGGTCCGTAATGGGAGTCACAGCACTGAGGCAGTAAGGAAAAAGCTCTTTGGAACCGCTGTAGCCCGTGCAGGATATCACCTGATCGAACTTCTCACCGGGGAAGGCACTGCAGCCCACAGTACCATCGGCATTTTTCTGGAACTCCATCTGGCCAGCGTCGCCGCAGATTCCGTACCCATGTAGGAGGAGGTTCATCAAAACAAAGTCGCGCAGCGGGATGATGCCTCCACGGGTCTTCTCGCGCACCTGCTGACATGTCCTCGGATCTCCGACGACGTAGAAGTCCAAAGCATCCAGGTCCTGTGAGAAGTCGTACTTCCAGTCCACATTCTCGTCCGCCCTTAGGTACAAACAAGAATATTTCAAATTGTGTAGCAAAGTGATTCTTCAAGCCGAGCAGCATCGAGAAATGGACGAAGGGGTGGAACCACTGGAGGATGCTGCTCAGCGGGCTGTTGAAGCTCCATCGAACATATGCGCAGGCACTGCGGTAGATGAACCGTACCTAACACAGGGACCTGTTTGATTCTAGTTGGGCAGTTTACACTCTGGTTCGAAAGGCCTCATAAAAGATTGATATTGGCAAGTACTTAGGCTTCTGGAGAATTGGAGGATTGGAACACATTGGTCTAACTCTTTTCGGCTCCTGCGTGTCAGGCGCGGGACCTTGTTGCCTTCCTGGATCAGGAACTTGGCAGCATCGACTGCGGACTTCCCACTGCCGATCACCAGGCCTCATGGATGCTCCGCGGAGGCCTAAGGGTTTAAGGGCTGGAAACCTCGAAGCCTAGAGGCCAAGTCGAACATGTGCAGCTAGTCTTTTGTGTTGAGGGGTTGGGAAGCCCATGACCCCCTGCAGGAATGTGACACTTCCTTCATTTATCCCTACAGTTCATAGAAAACCTTTATTATTACCTGGGGAAATGGGCTCCTTGGGTCTATGCTCCAAGGGCACACCGCTTGCCGCGCAAGCTTCCGGTGAGCTTGTTCAGGGCGCTGGAGTGCACCTCCAGACATCTTTGGCCCCCAAAACCCTTAACCCTTGAACTTCCTTGAACCCTAACAACACTCTGCAAATGGCCCGCATCCCACAAGAGCCCTACATGAGATATTCGGCCGCTGCACGGGAAAGCGCCCACAACCCTGAAACCTGAAGCTCAAGAGTTAGGTTTTAAGGGGTTAGGGTGAACATGGCCTTCTGAAACTTTTGACCCCCATCTGAGCCTCCAGAGGCACCCCGAGCAGCCGCGGAACTCCTGCGTGGCTCGAGCCGGGGAACGGAGCTTTGAGGGCTTCAGGCGGCCTAGGAGGGTTTAGGGGGAGGGAGGGGGGGGGTGTTGAACATACGAGAACAGGGGGGTTGTTCAAAATGAGGTGCAACCCTCAACCCCTAAGCCCCTTAAACCCTAGCCTCGAAACTCCTTGAACTCTAAACCCGAAGCTCACCGCACCTGAGTAGCTGTCGAAGCCGGTGGCTTGGACCACCGTGCCGGCTTTGACCTCCTTGAGGCCGCTGTCGGTCCGGTACTTCACCACCCGCTGGGTTTTGTCGAGGGCCACCCCCTCGACCTGTCGGAAGGCTGCTTGCTCTAGAGGTGGGGGCCCTTCGGCTTAAGACCCCCTATCTCAGGCCCCTAGAGTAAGGAACAGCTTCAGGACAAAGAGAAAGGGCATCCATATGCACTGCAGAAAATGTGCGGCCACCTCCCCCGTGATCGTTGCACAGCCGAGGGTTTTCAGTACCTTCTCGGCGTAGCTTCTGACCTGGTAGCCTGGGCTCTTGCTCATGAATATTGAACTAAGTTACCATAACAAGGGTACTATTTTCGACTTCCTTTCTCACCCTATGGTGGTATAAGTCAATACAAGTTCCATAAGAACCCAGCAGCTCATGGCCTGATGTACTGAGCTCGTGTGGCACTCGAGGTCATCATGGAGAATGGTGGGCAGCGAGTAGAAGTACGTCTGCTGGTGGAGCTTTACAGTGTTGGCAGCTTCGGTCCAAATGCCCCCGGGCTTCTCCTCTGGGATATTTTTGGGAAGCCCGTATAAAGTTTTCGACCCCTACAGGATACATCGGAATGTGTCGGGTTATGTAGGGATCAGGTCTCATAGGACTTAACACCGAACTGAACATCATATAAAACCCCAAAACCCTAACAACTCTCTCACCTCTCCTCCCGGGCAAGCAACGCGACCCGCAGGCTCGGATCTTTCTTCTTGAAGACCGCTGCGATGCCCAGCCCCGTGAAGCCCGAGCCGACGATGACCACGTCGAATTCGGACGCCGCAGTCTTCGACATCTAAAAGCTTAGGGGTTTAAGGCTTTTTTGGTCACGAAATGGTCTTGGGCCATGCAGGCGCGGTGCGGATTCGAGGGGGGGAGACAGCTCAAAACAAGGGACGAAACGACCTATTTAGGGAATTAGGAAAAGTTAGGGTTCCCTGCAGAATCCCTGAAAGAGCTATGTAGACCCTACATAATTCCGAAAGGATCATTATAAATCTTTCTTGTGGGTATGGTTTAGGAACTTAAGGTTCACGCTATCTCAGAAAACCCAATACTCTTATGGTAACTTAATGTAAGTTTGTTGACAAGAACCCTCTGTTTTTGCAAAGGAGTCAGTGGTCCTGGTCTTGTTTAAGATTCAGGAGATAAGGGGTCTACGGGCAGGAGCTGGGGATTAGGGTTTGAAGGTTGTGGGTAGGGTTTGGCACCATTCGCGAAAGTTTGGGTGTTGTTAGAGGCCTAGGTTTTTAAGGTGTAGGTGTGTCAAGTTTCGTGCTTCCACTTCATCTTAGCCAACTTCATGGTCAAAGCGGCGCACTGCCATTCTAAGCAACACGGGGGATATCTCTGTCAGTCAACGAGGCATTACAAGTCTGGAAGAAAGGCTCCACCCTACACGAACCGCATCCCGAAACCAGCACCCTAAACCCCAACCCGAAACTCAAGATTCGATCTAGACTCTAAACACTAAGCCCCTAAGAACCGTACGAACCCCATACACTATAGACCCCGTAAACCCTGAACCCTGAACGAGCCTTGGGGACCAGTCGCTGCACGGCCATCATCCGGATGATGTTCTCCGTATCCTGCCAGCAAGGAGCTTTCACATGCCTGAGAGGCGGGGTAAGACTCCTAAAGCCCCAATAAGCCAATAACCCTGTTGGGGTTTTCGGGTTGTGGAGCCTTGGAGCTGAGGGGGCTTCCGGAATCTACTTGCAATGCCCGCGAAGGCTCGGCTCCTCCTGCATGACGCTCTGGCAAAGAAGATTCGGAAGAATGAACCTCACCCCCAGGTCCCCCCTCCCCACTCCTGCACATAACCGCCAACTCAACTCCTGACGAGTGAGTACAAGTAACATTAAGTATCTCACACGATGGTGTAAAGAGCTTGGATGCGGACACGCACGTGGCGGCACTGATCGTCACCCGATTCCTTGCAGCACGGCGAGCACAAGATGGTGGCGACTGCCAGCAAAACTCGGCCTTTTCAGCTGCTTTTGCCCTTTGCTTGAAGCTCCACCTCCGGCCACGCGGGCTGTGCGAGAGTGCAAGAGACGAGATCAGGCATGGTAAGTGGCTAAGCAGCTGAACCCAGCTTAACCGCCGTTGAGACTTGGCGATGACGTGAGACATGCGGTCTTGCTGCCGAGGATGTACAGATGGGATCAAGCTCACGGAGCCCTTGAGGAAGTCAATGCCTGGAAGCTGGCCAATGAAGCCCTGTGCATGTGCTCAGTAGCCGCGCACTTTGACCAAGTGCACCTCGAAGACCAGATCCGAGTTCGGGGGAATCACTTTGTCAACTCCCCGCTTGCCATACGCCATGGCTGCTGGAATGATGAGGGTTGCCTTCTCGCCCTCAGACATTTTCATCATGGCAACATCCCAGCCACGGATGACCTTGCCGACGCCCACCTCGAAGGTGAGGGGATACTGCCGCTTATAGGTCGAGTCAAACAGCTTTCCGTTGGAGGCCAGCCTACCCTTGTAGTGCACTTGCAATTGGTCTCCAGCTTTCGGATATGTCACACCATCTCCTGGCACGGTGGTTTGAATCACGATTCCACCCTCCTCCTGGCGCGTCCACGCCTTTAAGAGCGTTATCTCCAGCATGATTGGAACATCACATGGCGGCTCTTTGGTGGCCAAAATTTCCCAGAGCTCCTCGCCACTCTCGTCGGGCTCCCCGTATGCAAACACCCGCTTCGTGTCCCCGACCTCCATGCCAACGATGGCGTCTTCAAACGGTGCAGGCACGTCACCTGCCCCAGCAGCAAACTCCAATGGACTTGACACACCGGTCCATCCAACGGTTGCACCAGTGTCCCCTCGCGACATCGTGAAATCCACAAGCACCGACATGCCCAACGCTGCCGGAGGCTCTCGTGCCGAGGCGGCCAAAGACATCCGCCTATGCTGTTTCAAGGGCCATTCGGACCTTTCCAACACCTGGTACACAAAGCTATGGAAGGCGGTTCCACAAGCAAGCGTCGCAAGCAGCGTCAGCAAAAAGTGGGGGCCGTGCGGCGGTGCTGAACGGCATCTCTGTGGAAGAGTCATGGCAAGAAACAAACGGCGCTTCTACTTGACTCACTCTCTTCACGGCCTTTCAGAACACGGGCGCACCTATTTTTCGCATACAACCAGACCATAATGCGGCATAAGGATATGATGGGCATGCAGTTTCTTACATTCCTTCTTTGCCCAGTAAACGCCTGCGGACGAACGATCCAATCCGGCAAAATCCGGTCGGATAATCTAGTCCACATCCTTAGACAACTACTCTTCGAAGGTCCGATGAGTCTGAGGAAACACCTGGGTGCCCCGGCAGATCTTGGTCGCTCAGCGCGGTTCCCAGGAAGATGTGAACTCGGGGCAGCATCCGCATGTTCTGTGGCCTCGAGTCGGCTGTCTCGCTCGAAGGAACGCGTTGGAGACCACCTCTGGCTCTATAGCGGAAACACGAGATGCATCTCACAACCTGTCGTTAAAAAAACATGTCCGGATCAGAATGCACTCAGCTTGGCCCCACAGACTGATAATCAACATGCCTTGGTGTCCATATACATATCTGTTCTAAAACCTAGTTGTGGCATGTTTGTTAGCGTATGACCTGATGTAGCTTTCTTAAAATCTTCCTGAAGCCTTGATCGACATGTTGCACCTTAGTTTTGGCCACAGGCCGCCTGCACCTCCCCAACCTCCCAAGCCCCACCGGCCGAAGCCGCCTTGCGCGCCCTACATCTTGAAACTTTAGACCGACTAAAGCCGTGTAAACTAAGCCCTACATTCCCCCTCCATCATCAAACGTAGCATTCCCCCTAGGCTCAGCGCTGGCGCAGCCACTCGTTGACCAACTCTTGACCCGGATGCCCTGGGGGAAGAATAACCTGCAGCTTGGGGGGCTCTTTGGGGCCCTAGGTCCAGGAAATGGTGTCTTCTGCTTCTTCTCTTCTGCCGCGCCATTTTGGCTTTCTTTGGATGTCCTTTGTTTGACACTCTTGGCCTCACAAACCTTAGCATCGCCGGCAGTGTTCCTGAAACCCGCGGAAAATTGGTGCACAGCCCATCAACCCCTAAGGTCTAAGAGACTTCCACAGGGGCGTTTAGCGCGGCTTTCGCTCTGAGCGGATCTAGGAGAGCTGCCGAGACGTGAAGATCATCTGCATCCTCGGCATGATCTGGGTGAAAGATCTCGGCGATAAAGTTCCTGAGCGGGGCGTACAATGAGCACAAAGCCCCGCTCGATGCATGCACTAGCTGATGAAGCGGCTGAAGAAGTCCCAGATAACGGTCCCGCGCTTTCTTCAGGGGTCTCACTGCTCACTACAGTCCACTGCTAAAGGCGGCACACTGTTTCGCCCCGTCAACCCAGCACGGCACCTCAACATCTGGCCGGTCGGGTTTCCAATGACCACAATGTACCTCAACAGGTTAGTGCTCTTCGTGTTGTCGCTTTTGAGGGTTTAGGCGTAAGGCTGAGGTTGAGGCAAGCTTAACAACTGGGCCTCAAACGCGTAAGCCCTTGGAGTGGAGCGAGAGGCAAGTCTGGAGGCGGGTTCCGAACCCTGCCTCGAAAGCCCAAAACGTTAAAACCCTGAGCTTCACTCTCAACCCACACAGCTGAGCAAATCAATATCCAAGCCCTTCAGGCTCTTCTTTCTAGGAGAGCCCCTCCCCCCCCCCAAGGAGAAAAAGAACATAAACCTAAACCCCGAAACACTGAACACCCCCCCCCCCCCCCCGAGTCTTCAGGGACTCCTGCTTGCGGGCAGGGGTCTTGCTATGTAGGACGGGCTCGAAGAAGCCGCCACCCGTTTGATTCACCGCAAGGATCTGCCCACAGAACGGCGCGCTTCTGGGGGAGGGGGGGGGGGTACCCAGGCAGAGTTGTGTGTATGAGATTCTAGTTCTAGTGTAGCAGGATTATCGGAGAAAATAGCTTAACAAGGCTTATATCACCGTATATACCTGTAGACGAACACGTCTTCATGGAAGGCAGGATCTGAAGTTGAGGGTTGAGGGGTCTTCTACCCCAAACGCTGAACCCTAAACCCAGTTGAAGGGGTGATTGGCGCTGTGGGGTGTCACGTAGCACTAAGCAGGCTCCAGCTTTCTTTTGTGGGCTTTGGGCTTGCAGGCGGAAGGAAATCGCGACAAGTTGCCCAGAGCCCTCGGTGCCTGAAGGCACCTATAAGCGGCGGTGGCCGTCCATGCCAGGCCGCTGTAGATGGCAAAGACTGTACACATACGGCCGAGACCTCAACAAGGAGATCAAGTGTTGCCGTATTGCCTTTGAATCCGTGTGATGGAGGACGGCCTTTTGACACAATTGAATTCCGAAACTCTGAGGACAAACCGTGAAGAGAAGCCCCAGGATGATGCAGGAGGAAGCACTTCAGGCCCGAGGCCCCCTGCTTCTGGAAATGCCCGAACCCAGGCTGAACCTAAAACGGCGCAACCCTAGCCCCACATCATCAGCATCATGGCCCCTGCGCTTCACCTGCAGGGGCCAACATCATCAGCATCATCGCCCCTGCGCTTCACCTGCATGGGCCCAATCCACCGGAAGGGGCCCAGCATCATCAGCATCATGGCCCCTGCGCTTCACCTGCAGGGGCCAACATCATCAGCATCATCGACCCTGCGCTTCACCTGCATGGGCCCAATCCACCGGAAGGGGCCCAGCATCATCAGCATCATGGCCCCTGCGCTTCACCTGCAGGGGCCAACATCATCAGCATCATCGCCCCTGCGCTTCACCTGCATGGGCCCAATCCACCGGAAGGGGCCCAGCATCATCAGCATCATGGCCCCTGCGCTTCACCTGCAGGGGCCAACATCATCAGCATCATCGCCCCTGCGCTTCACCTGCATGGGCCCAATCCACCGGAAGGGGCCCAGCATCATCAGCATCATGGCCCCTGCGCTTCACCTGCAGGGGCCAACATCATCAGCATCATCGACCCTGCGCTTCACCTGCATGGGCCCAATCCACCGGAAGGGGCCCAGCATCATCAGCATCATGGCCCCTGCGCTTCACCTGCAGGGGCCAACATCATCAGCATCATCGACCCTGCGCTTCACCTGCATGGGCCCAATCCACCGGAAGGGGCCCAACATCATCAGCATCATGGCCCCTGCGCTTCACCTGCAGGGGCCAACATCATCAGCATCATCGACCCTGCGCTTCACCTGCATGGGCCCAATCCACCGGAAGGGGCCCAGCATCATCAGCATCATGGCCCCTGCGCTTCACCTGCAGGGGCCAACATCATCAGCATCATCGCCCCTGCGCTTCACCTGCATGGGCCCAATCCGCCGGAAGGGGCCCAACATCATCAGCATCCTCGCCCCTGCGCTTTACCTGCAGGGGCCCAATCCGCAAGAGGCCCCACATCATCAGCATCATCGCCCCACGCGCTTCACCTGCAGGGGCCCAATCCGCAACATCATCAGCATCATCGCCCCTGCGCTTCACCTGCATGGGCCCAAACCACCGGAAGGGGCCCAACATCATCAGCATCCTCGCCCCTGCGCTTTACCTGCAGGGGCCCAATCCGCAGGAGGCCCCACATCATCAGCATCATCGCCCCTTTGCGCGTCACCTGCAGGGGCCAACATCATCAGCATCATCGCCCCTGCGCTTCACCTGCATGGGCCCAATCCGCCGGAAGGGGCCCAACATCATCAGCATCATGGCCCCTGCGCTTCACCTGCAGGGGCCAACATCAGCATCATCGCCCCTGCGCTTCACCTGCATGGGCCCAATCTACCGGAAGGGGCCCAGCATCATCAGCATCATGGCCCCTGCGCTTCACCTGCAGGGGCCAACATCATCAGCATCATCGCCCCTGCGCTTCACCTGCATGGGCCCAATCCACCGGAAGGGGCCCAACGTCATCAGCATCATGGCCCCTGCGCTTCACCTGCAGGGGCCAACATCATCAGCATCATCGCCCCTGCGCTTCACCTGCATGGGCCCAATCCGCCGGAAGGGGCCCAACATCATCAGCATCCTCGCCCCTGCGCTTTACCTGCAGGGGCCCAATCCGCAAGAGGCCACACATCATCAGCATCATCGCCCCTGCGCTTCACCTGCAGGGGCCCAATCCGCAACATCATCAGCATCATCGCCCCTGTGCTTCACCTGCATGGGCCCAATCCGCCGGAAGGGGCCCAACATCATCAGCATCCTCGCCCCTGCGCTTTACTTGCAGGGGCCCAATCCGCAAGAGGCCCCACATCATCAGCATCATCGCCCCTACGCTTCACCTGCAGGGCCCAATCCGCCGGCAGCCCCTGCGCTTCACCTGCATGGGCCCAATCCCCCGGAAGGGGCCCAACATCATCAGCATCCTCGCCCCTGCGCTTCACCTGCATGGGCCCAATCCGCCGGAAGGGGCCCAACATCATCAGCATCCTCGCCCCTGCGCTTTACCTGCAGGGGATCCGCAAGAGGACCCACATCATCAGCATCATGGCCCCTGCGCTTCACCTGCAGGGGCCAACATCATCAGCATCATCGCCCCTGGGCCCAACATCATCAGCATCCTCACCCCTGCGCTTTACCTGCAGGGGCCCAATCCGCAAGAGGCCCCACATCATCAGCATCATCGCCCCTGCGCTTCACCTGCAGGGCCCAATCATCGCCCCTGCGCTTCACCTGCATGGGCTCAATCCGCCGGAAGGGGCCCAACATCATCAGCATCCTCGCCCCTGCGCTTTACCTGCAGGGGCCCAATCCGCAAGAGGCCCCACATCATCAGCATCATGGCCCCTTGCGCGTCACCTGCAGGGGCCAACATCATCAGCATCATCGCCCCTGCGCTTCACCTGCATGAACCCAATCCGCCGCAGGGGCCCAATCCGCAAGAGGCCCCACATCATCAGCATCATCCCCCCTGCGCTTCACCTGCAGGCCCAATCCGCCGGCAGAGGCCCAACATCATCAGCATCATCGCCCCTGCGCTTCACCTCCATGGGCCCAATCCGCCGGAAAGGGCCCAACATCATCAGCATCCTCGCCCCTGCGCTTTACCTGCAGGGGCCCAATCCACAAGAGGCCCCACATCACTAGCATCATCCCCGCTGCGCTTCACCTGCAGGGCCCAATCCGCCGGCGCCGGCAGAGGCCCAACATCATCAGCATCATCGCCCCTGCGCTTCACCTGCAGGGGCCCAATCCAGAGGCCCAACGTCATCAGCATCATCGCCAGCGCTTTACCTGCAGGGGTCCAATCCGCCGGCCGAGGCCCAGCATCACCAGCATCATCGCCCCTGCGCTTCACCTGCGGGGGCCAACATCAGCATCATCGCCCCTGCGCTTCACCTGCAGGGGCCCAATCCGCCGGCAGGGGCCCAACATCATCAGCATCATCGCCCCTGATCGTTACCTGCAGGGGCCCAATCCGCCAGCAAAGGCCCAACATCATCAGCATCATCGCCCCTTCGCTTCACCTGCCGGGCCACAATCCGCCGGAAGAGGCCCAACATCATTAGCATCATCGCCCCTGCGCTTCACCTGCATGGTCAGCATGATCGCCCCCCTGCAGGGGCCCAATCCGCCGGCAGAGGCCCAACATCATCAGCATCATCGCCCCTGCGCCTCACCTGCGAAGGCCCAATCCCCAACATCAGCAACATCATCGCCCCTGCGCTACACTTGGAGCGGCCAATCCGCCGGAAGGGGCCCAACATCATTAGCATCATCGCCCCTGCGCTTCTCCTGCATGGGCCCCTGCGCCTCACCTGCAAAGGCCCAATCCCCAACATCAGCAGCATCATCGCCCCTGCGCTTCACCTGGAGGGGCCCACACACAGAGGGCCAACATCATCAGCAGCATTAGGGATCATCGCCCCCTGTAGGCTTTCGCGATTCAAGCATCAGAGAACGTTCAGGCGCGCGCGAGTGGGAGCACGAAAGGCTCACGAGACCCACAAAAGAGCGCGATTGTCGCGGAGCGCAGGGCGCCCACTGGGAGCAGTGGAAGCATCTCAAGCACGCGCATGCGCACAGTGCCTATTCAAAACAAGACCTTCAGGGCCCGTCGGAAGAAGCGGGTCGATTGCGACATCTCGCGTGCGCGCACGCGCAACAGAGTCACGCTGTAAATTTCCTTCACTCGCCGTAAGCGCTGATTAAGGAATCAAGTGCCCCAAATGCCCTAAATCCAAAACCCGGATCTCTAAACCTTTAAAAGCACGCGCCGAGGGCCAGGCTGCTGACCGGGGCCAAGTCCCCGAAGCCCACGGTGGCCACGCCTCGGAAATGGGTCGTTTCTGCTCTTTCTTGCAATACGAGACTTGGGCAGTCTGCCCCCTTATAGCAGATTGATCGGTTACGTGCAGGACCAGAAATTCCCCCCCCCCCCCCCCCCCACGCTTCGCCCCTACCCCCCCCCCATTGTGTTTCCCCCCTCCCTCTCGCTCTCTCTTTCTTTCTTTCTTTCTTGGGGGCAAGGGGGGCAAGCCCCCGGGCGTCCTCGCCCGCCCCGGTATTCGGGGTTCCTCTGGTGGGGGTGGTCGGGGAGATGGAGCTCAGGTTCATTCTCTCACCCCACATGCAAGCCAGGATTAACCCCCAGTATTCGCTCCTTCCCCGTTCCACGCATCTGTACTTTTCTGTTGGCCTCAGGACCGCTTTTCAAACACGGCACAACAGCTTCCTCTACCCTGAGGTGTTACACCGTCTTTCGGTCCCGGGCTTCTTTACGGGTGAAACCCATCATTTTTTTTGTTGGCTCTCTCTCACTCTCTCTCCTCTCTCTTCTCTCTCTTCTTTTCTTTTTGACCGGACCAAACCACCCACCCAAAACCACGCCACCCTGTAGAAAACTGCACTTGGGAGTTCAGGCCGTATCCTCTGTGCTCAAGTGCAACCGCGCAGCTCGTCAGCACGAAGTAAATGGAAGAAATCGTGTTCCACTTCACCTCAGGAGGATCAGGCTTTTGCTCAGGAACCGGGACTCGTGGGCAGATGGCCCACTTGCCGAGGGTGAGCCAATTTAGCTTCCGAAGCCTTAAGGGTACCCTGCTTCGAAGCCCTGCGGTGGCCTGTGAGAACTCCTGCAGGAAAGGCGGATCACCCAAGTTTTCCTGGGTCGACACAGGTTGCCAGCAAGTCTGGAACTAGCAAGTCAACTATGAAGGAACGAGGCTATCGTGCAGCAGAAGGCTCGAAGGTGAGCATCATCATGGCCATGAGATACACCTCGAAGGGAGCCGAGCCACGTTTCCCGAAGCTGCAGAAGTGCGATTGCTGCAATGCTGGACCAGAACTTCCCGCTGGACCAGAAAGCGCCCCTTCCCTGCATGAGAGAGTCCTTGAACAACGTCGAGATCAAGATGTCCACGCACTGGTTGCGAAACATCTGGCATGGCTTCAGGCAGACAGGATTCAGGCAGCTGTAAATCACGCTGCCCTCTTGGGTATCTGTCAATCGTTCATAACATTATCGAACCCCTTATTTGCCGACCTCGCGACCCTCATCTTTCACAACCCCCAGATCCGACCTAAGCCCAAGAACCTCATTGTGGAGCGGAGCCCAACGACCTCATTAAGGCTGCTAGCCTCGAGGTTGATCTTGTAGACTCTTAGGAGCTTGCTCCAGGAGCGCAACAGGTGGAAGGCCTTGGAGTTCAGAACTTCGTCCTTCGGGCGCCACAGCGGAATAATCTAGTGCACAGCTCCTGTCCAGGCTTCGGGCAGCCAACCAGGACGGCGCGAACCAAGTCTTCTTGCCCTGGCAGTTCTAGTTCAGGGTTAGATTCACAAGTGTCCAGGATCCTTAGGCACAGTAGTTTGCTTTGCAAAGCTTGATTGATGCAATAGTGAGTGTCTTCGGAGCTTCCTCCTTTGGTTTGGGCTTGAAGTCTGGGCGCTCTAAGAAGGCGAGTTCCCGCAAGAGTTGAATGGGAGCTTCTTATAGCTCCGCCGAGTCAGTTTTTAGCTTCGCGTAACTTTCAGGCTTTCCTCTCCCCGATGACGAGGCTCTATGCTGCCTGGAACTCCGCCACGGGCAGACTTGCTATGGATCCTGCGCAGCTTGATGTAAGGATCAGCTAAGCAGCTAAACTGGTTGGTCCGGCGGCCTATCAGGATGGAGTCTGGAATCGCCCGGTCAAACAGCCTCGATCGCACACAGTTCGAGGCAGCTCGAGGGGAGGGTTGTGAGCAGGCTGAGCAGTGCTGCACTGAAAGCTGTGAGTTTACTCACTCGACCTGAGGTCGAACGAACCCTTCACCCTGATGGGATCAAGAATCGTCCCAGATGATAAAGTCAGCTATAAACTGGGCAACAAGCCATGTTGTCGTGCCCCTACGAAACTCCGCGTGAACCGATGCCCCTCATTCAGAAAGATCGGGCCTTTCCAATCCGGAGGCAAGGGAGAATTTATTTTGCGAAGACGCAGCCGAGGGCAAAGGGCCAGCATGAGGTGCATTCAACCCCTGTGAAGTGAGGGTGGGATTGGAAACGGGTGAAGACGTCGAGATCGACTGGGAGGCGAGGAATGGCGAGAACGAGTAGGCTGCAAGCGCTCAGGGCCAGGTGACGGCATCAGCACACAGACTACGCAAAAGAAGCACCAGAGGATCTGGCGCGAAAGGCGGGCAGTGAGGGTCAATGATGCTGATGATGCCGGCCAGCCCCGAATGAAATGCAGGGGCAATAAAGCTGATGATGCTGGCGTTTGGTCTGGGCATCAGGGAGACGCAGCGTCGATGATGCTCATGATGCCGGCCCTTGGTCTGGGCTTTAGGTCACACCACATGAAATGCAGGAGCAATGAAGTTGATGATGCCGGCGCTTGGTCTGGGCGTCAGGGAAACGCAGATGAGCATCATGGCGCCGGCCCTTGGTCTGGGCTAAATGAAATGCAGGGGCAATTTATTGGTTATGCTGGCCCTTAGTCTGACGCGAAAGCTTCAGGGATAAGTAGCCGCCTTACGTCCAATACGCAGAGTCATTTCAGTAACGAGATCAACCCTCCGAACTCATCGAGCATGTTCAGGTTGGTAGATTGACGCTGCCCATGCCATCCAGAGCGCATCAACCCGATCTTTACTCAGACACCGCCACTCTGGTATACCTGCATGTGGATCGCTCGCACATAGGAGTGCTGCACAAGAACCTGGATCCCAGATCCATTTCTTCTTCGCCCCCGATTCAACTCCTTCTGCATTCTCCCCGAGATTTCCCCCGACGCCCAGTCAGGAAGCTTCAACATGAACTTCGACTCCCCCTAATTCCCATGGAACTGGGGTGATGGCACACTCCAACTGACTTCAGGACCCTGAGCCAGTAAGTAAACTAAGTAAGCGCGGCGCATCCAGTAGAATCCTGAGAGGATCCCCTCGCAGTGTGCAAAGCCCCAGAATGGCAGCAAGTAACCTCAGGAGGCTCAGCTTGAGGCTCAGAAGGAAAGGGGCTCAGGAGCCAAAACATACTGCACGCGCCGATCACAAGGAATCCTCTGCCGGCCTTGGGTTCTCATTTCGGACTTGACACTCACCCCCCGAACCTTCAAAATCAGGAGCAGCTTTCCATTTGAAACGGCGAAGAACCCACCTCCAGCATGAAGTCGTGAGGTGCTGGGGTGTGAGGGCCCCATGACACGCATAGCCCCCTGCTGTTGCCGTTGTTGCCACATACACTACCTTCTGACATTGCATGCTCTCTCCTCTTCCTTCTTCGTCTTCTATTTTTCTTGTTATCCCGCTTATTCTTCTACTTTCTTCTTCTTATTATTCTTATTATGCTTATTCTTCTTATTTATCATTTCTTATCTCTTCTTTCTTCTTTATTCTTTCTTCTTTCTTCTTTCTTCTTTCTTCTTTCTTCTTTCTTCTTTCTTCTTTCTTCTTTCTTCTTTCTTCTTTCTTCTTTATTCTTTCTTCTTTCTTCTTTCTTCTTTCTTCTTTCTTCTTTATTCTTTCTTCTTTCTTCTTTCTTCTTTCTTCTTTCTTCTTTCTTATTTCTTCTTTCTTCTTTCTTCTGTCTTCTTTCTTCTTTCTGCTTTATTATTTCGTACTCTTCCTCTTTTTCTTGCTTCGTTATTCTGTATTACTGTCTTATAGCTTCTTTCTTCTTTTCTGCTTTCTTATGTATTCTGATCTTGCGTATTTATATTTTGTCATTTTATTTCTTCTTTCTTCTTTCTTCTTTCTTCTTTCTTCTTTCTTCTTTCTTCTTTCTTCTTTCTTCTTTCTTCTTTCTTCTTTCTTCTCTCCTCTTTCTTCTTTCTTCGTTCTTCTTTCTTCTTTCTTATCTCTTCTTTATTCTTTCTTCTTTCTTCTTTCTTCTTGCGTATTTATATTTTTCTTTCTTCTTTCTTCTTTCTTCTTTCTTCTTTCTTCTTTCTTCTTTCTTCTTTCTTCTTTCTTCTTTCTTCTTTCTTCTTTCTTCTTTCTTCTCTCCTCTTTCTTCTTTCTTCGTTCTTCTTTCTTCTTTCTTCTTTCTTCTTTCTTCTTTATTCTTTCTTCTTTCTTCTTTCTTCTTGCGTATTTATGATTTATTCTTTCTTCTTTCTTCTTTCTTCTTTCTTCTTTCTTCTTTCTTCTTTCTTCTTTCTTCTTTCTTCTTTCTTCTTTCTTCTTTCTTCTTTCTTCTTTCTTCTTTCTTCTTTCTTCTTTATTCTTTCTTCTGTCTTCTTTCTTCTTTCTTCTTTCTTCTTTCTTCTTTCTTCTTTCTTCTTTCTTCTTTCTTCTTTCTTCTTTATTCTTTCTTCTTTCACTTATTCTTTCTTTCTTTCTTTCTTTATGTCGTTCTTTCTTTCTTTCTTTATTTCTTTCTTTCTTTCTTTCTTTCTGTCTTTCTTTCTTTCTTTCTTTCTTTCTTTCTTTCTTTCTTTCTTTCTTTCTTTCTTTCTTTCTTTCTTTCTTTCTTTCTTTCTTTCTTTCTTTCTTTCTTTCTTTCTTTCTTTCTTTCTCTCTCTCTCTCTCTCTCTGTCTCTCTCGCTCGCTCGCTCGATTCCCACGAATTGTGACATGACAAGTTCCGAGACACTACCTGCGCTACATGGACCTGCGTCTGCCACGTTCTACAACTACAAGGGTGCAATCAACTGGCTTTTCGGGGAATGACTTGTCGAAGCAGGCGAGGCACACAAGAAGTAGAACGCCGGGATGGCTTCCAAAATGAAGCCAACAAAGGGCAGAGATGTTGTGTACCTGGGGCTTGTTCCAGGACGCTGTAGCTACACAGAGCAGATCCTTTTGGGAATCTGCTCGATTAAGATGCCTTTTGCTACAGGTGCATCCAGCTCGGTTTACCTTTTGGTGAACCGATCTGGGAGTGAATCCAGGTCCCAGGCGTTCGCACGCAGAAGTGGATGCTCTGGATCACTGCCAGTACAAAGTCAAGGCCAAGCCACAGCTTCGACGTGTTGAGCCTTCCAAAGGTTGAATCTCCTAAAGGCCTCCGAACCTTTTCCGAGCCTCTTCCAGATCCGCCGGGTGGGTAAAGGTCCCCTTTCGGCGTCTTTTGACAGTACCCTACTTCAAGCAAAGCCTCAGCTCCTGGGCTCGGGTTTCAGGTGGCAATCGCCGCGATTGAATCGGTGCCTTCTGCCCGCATCGTGTTCCAGAACCCCACGCCCCAGCACTCCCACAATGTCGTTGCAATCGTTCATTCACTCCACCAGAGCCATTTTGATAGCCACAAGGTATCAGGGGCCGATCGTTTGGTTCCTCCCTTGGGGAAACTCAAGATATTCAAGGTCTAGGGTCTTTTTCTTTGGGGTTGAGTTGGGAAGGTGTTGGGCTTTCGGTGCATGCGGCCTGATGCATTGCAGCTCCAATCTTAGCCGCCACGAGTCCAGGTTGGACGTGGCAGCGGTGATGGACAGGAGCAGGCCGACGCCTGAGGGCAAAATTGGGCTTTTGGGGGGGCTTCCATGGTTGTGTCGAGTTAAGGCTGGGTCGGAGGCTGGGTTGGAGGCTGGGAGGCCGGGTTGGAGGCTGGGCCAAAAGCTCCGGGAGGTCTGCAGGTTTTGAAGGGCTTCACCTTGCCCGCAGCTGGGCCTGGAGAGTCTCTAATTGGCATTGGGCCACTCTCCATAGCACGGTTTAGTGATGTTGCAATCATGATCGAGTCATGGGCACTAACCTCTCATGCATCCCGACGATGCCCTGGCGGGACTCAGGCCAAAGTTCAGGCTTAGGGTTCTAGCTGCAGCGAGTCGGCATGGAACCATCACCTATCACTGTTCGCAAATCTAATCAAAAACCAAAGCCTCAGCAAACTGAATTGATCCCCTTGGCCTAGCAGTCCACCATACAGGCCACCACCTCGTATCGCACTGGAGAGGTGTTTTACGCGCCTTTTGGCTTTGGGTTGCAAAGTTCACGGATTGAAGGTTCTTGTGCCTTTAGCGTTAAGGTCCGAAAAGCGGCTAAAGTCTGAGTCTATGTCAGTTTGCATGTATGCCTACACTGAAGTTTCATGTTAATTCTCGGGCAAGCAGATCTGCCATGCTAGTCGTTGTGATAGGCGCTTTGTCAGCCCTACAGGTGTCTTGGTTTAGAGATTCAGGGGGATTCAAGGGGGGTAGGATGAGTAGAGCGCCATCCTCAACATCAGATGCCCAGTAGCAGAATGTCAGCTGCTGGAACTCATAGTCCCATGAGATCCCACCACAGTCCGATCCACAGGAGAGGCCCTGCGCTCAGCTGAACTCGGCACAGGAGAGCTACCCGCAGGAAACATCAGAACCACAAGGGCCTCACTTGCCATCGTGCTACGTTGACATGGCGGAGTTACGAGTGCTACTCACTCTTTGTTGAGAGACTGGGTGGCGCTGTGTGAGTGTTGCCAGTCTACGGGGCTGCTCTCGTTGCGGCTTTTTAAGCCAAGCGCCCTTGCTTTGAATCGTGCCATGAAGTGTGCCAACGGCTTCAACTGACTGTCCTCTTTCCTTCCAGCATGAAGATCAGCTTCGAATTCACTTGGGCCAGGAATGCAAGAGGAGCTCAGCACAGCCACAGCACCAAGTGCTCCCGCCGAGAAGCAGGCACATGTTGTTTTGTCTGCTTGGCGGTCCTTCTCTTGTCAGCGCTTTTGTATGGTACGGCTGGTAAGGCTGGTCCTGAGGACCACGGACCAGTTTGTGAGGTGTTGACTCTTGACTGCGTCACTTCTCGAGGCGTACTGTTACATGCGATGATTCTTAGAAGCAGAGTCCAAGTATACCAGAAATCCTCGCAGGACCTCCTGGCTTTCCGCCATGATGCTCTGCGGTGCATCTCTGGCCGATTGAAGGGTGCCCACACTTCGGCAAGCGCCCCTTCCAGTGGGTGGGCTCTGTGTGCCCACCAGGTGAAACGAAATCGCTGGGGATGCTCCGATATTCAGAACTCTCCTTTCTCTCCCTGAGATGACGGATGGCAGCTGACATGTCCGAAGCTGAGCCAAGAAACTCTGAGCCGAAGGCTGCCGGCCAGCGCGGCCAGCACCAGAAGTTCCAGCAGTTCATGGAGCAGCCCTTGTCCCACGGGTTCCTCGAGAGGTTGAGGGCGCGCAGGTGGTGAGCTCTTAAGATGATGGTCCCTTGTTGGGGGATATACCCGTAAATACGAGGGGCCGCCTTATGATGGTAACCCCGAGAGGGACCATAACGTAGAGAAGAGACCAGGCGGGAAGAAAGAAGCACTGAAGAAGCCTTTAAGCACATCCTTTCTCAAAAACGAGGCCTGGTGGGGTCATAGATGAAGGCTCCCTTGTCGAAGAGGTCATTGTACCTTCCAAGAAAAGGGCTCTGGGCGGGTCAGGGAACTCACGGTGCAGCGTCAGCCCTGAGCCAGCAAAGCCTATGTCCTAGTCCAAAAAGCGCAGGGTGCTCGTCATCATCCAAATCCTCCACTGGGATGGAGTCGCCCTGTGACGTGCCGTTGGCCTTGGCCGGAGCACACACTGCCAGAACACCCGATTGTCTAGAGTCCTAGAGTCCGCAGCGGACCCGTATCGTCCGCATCGCCGACATCGTCGTCATCATCATCGCCACTACCACCATACCATTATCACCAGCACCAGCAAGGTCACCGCCACCATCACCATCGCACGGTCATGGTTAGGGTCGCGGTACAATCACGGCCGCGATCGCAACGAACCAGATCAACATCTACGGTGGTGGCGGCAGCAGCAGAAGCGGCAACAACAACAGCAACAGCAACAAAGCAAGCCACACGAGCACAAGAATCCCAGATTTCCAATCCAAAGGGTCTTTTGAGTTCTAGAACCAGGCTTAAGCTCCAGGCAATGTAGTGAATGTTGTGCTTCCACTCTTGTGCAAGCTCATTCCTATCGAAGGGCTTACAGCTTCTTCCTCTGAACTTATCTTTGACCAGGTTTTCAGCCCTTAGCAAGATGTAGCAGCTGTACACATATGCACCATTGCATGCACGCATATAGCATTATACAACCGTGGACATGCACGGTCTGCACTCCTGGACACCAGCCCCAAGTGGATCTTGAAAATTGGCCTTAGCGCACCACGCCATCGCACTCCCTCCTGTTCGGTCGCCGAGCTCAGGTTCGGGGCACTTCGATGGCGAGGAGGGCCAGGGAGGCTGCCAGGTGAAGCCTCAGCCACAAGGAGGCTAATTACAGTGATCCAGAAGAGCTGCAATCATTGTTGCCCGAAGAGGGGACCGTGAGACGCCATCTAAGTCCCGAGCACCACCATGATCTCCGCTTGGAGCAGGCCCTGTCGCGAAGTGGCGAAGGAAGCCCAGTCGAAGATGACGAGTGTGAACCCAGATGCCGCCTTCTTGGCAATCAGAATAGCAAGGTATCCGTCCATGGCCACTCCAGTCCTCAACATGTTACAACATGTTCGGAGCTTCAGAGGGGAGACCTGTCCGACGGTCACAGAACAGCAGGAGAAAGGTCGGAGAGCAAGCCGCAGTTGTTCTGAGGCCGCGGCACGCCAATCAAGCAGAAACCTCACAACACCAAATCCTATGAAATCCCATGTTTTTGCCTCAATTGTTGCCTCAATTCCTCACAAATTGCAGAGCGCCCCAGAGGTCACGTGGCTGGGAGCTCCCGACCGATCAGCATCAACAAGAACTCCCTGTGGTTGAGTAATCCTGATCTGCCAGTCCGGGAATCTCCCTCTCCCTCCGCCTTACCCTCCCTACAGAATCTCCCTCCCTCTCCCCGTCTCCCTCCCCCTCCCCCTCCCCCTCCCTCCCCCTCCCCCTCCCCCTTTCTTTCTTTCTTGGGGGGGTGGGGGCGAACCCCCTGGCTGTGCGCCTGCCCCTGTATTCCTCCCTCTCCCTCTCCCTCTCCCTCTCCCTCTCCCTCTCCCGCTCCCGCTCCCTCTCCCTCTCCCTCTCCCTCTCCCTCTCCCTCTCCCGCTCCCTCGCCTCTCCTAGTACGCGTAACTGTCCCCGACAAAAACTGGGGATCGGTTGTGTTCCCGTGGAAATGAGTATGTCCGGAGAAGCAGAGCCGCAACAGTATGCAGGGAGATGGACTTGGGTTTCGAATCGTTAGACTGTTAGTCTCCCACTGGTCTTGCTTCGAAGATTGCATCATCATTATAAGTGACCTTCTTCTTCTCCTTTCCAGAAGCATGAAGATCAGTCGTGGGACCAGGAAACGGAAGTGTCCGGGCGAGGCGCCCCGAAGGAAAGTTCAGGCCTGAACGATGGGGTGCGGGTGACAGTTTCTAAGTCTTTCCCGTCTTCACACATGACGCAAAATGCCAGTCCCCTTCGTCCGACTGTTGCCGAAATAGCGCGCTGTCAGTCTCTATCTCTTCTTCTTCCTCTTCCTCTTATTATTATTATTCTGCTTCTTCTTCCTCTTTCTCTTCCTCCTCCTCCTCTTCTTATTCTTCTTCTTCTTCTTCTTCTTCTTCTTCTTCTTCTTCTTCTTCTTCTTCTTCTTCTTCTTCTTCTTCTTCTTCTTCTTCTTCTTCTTCGTCTTCTTCTTCTTCTTCTTCTTCTTCTTCTTCTTCTTCTTCTTCTTCTTCTTCTTCTTCTTCTTCTTCTTCTTCTTCTTCTTCGTCTTCTTCTTCTTCTTCTCCTTCTCCTCCTCCCTCTCTCCTTCCTCTCTCTCTCGAGGTCCGCCCATCTCACTCTCTCTCTCTCTCTCTCTCCCTGCTTCTGCGGTCGTCATCAAACCCTTAATCGCTGAACCCTAATTCCTGAAGGCTGGGGCATGGGCCAATGACATTGTTCAGCCATTTGCAGTAATGGTCGTAGCGGCGAATCGGACGACCATACTGCCAAGACCTGAAAACAGCCGAGGACTGCGGTGGGGCATTTTGAGAACTGAGGTCGGGCACGGCAAAGCTTTGAAAGCAAACATAGCCAGAACTGGGCAGACATTCGCCGGCTCGGAGCCGGCTCAGGGCTGCTCAGGGCTGCTCAGGGCGGCGCTTGTGAGCTCGACGCGGGTTGGGTCCGATGCCCTTTTTTTGCCACCAGCTTGGATTTTGTGGGACAGAGGGCGTTGGCTCGGCAAAAGCGGCTGAGCACCGGCCTGCTCCAGGTCAACACCGTTGTTGTTGAGGCTGAGGTTGCGCATCTTCTTCATCTGTCCCGGATCCGCAAAGGTGCAGTACCTTGAAGGAAGAATACGCTGAACACACTCGACAAAGGCATCTGAAACCAACTCACCCACGTCTCACCCATGTGTCACGATGGCCATCCCGCAACAGGCCGAGATGCCCCATCAGAGCCAGAGTGAAAGCATTGAGCACAATCACAAAGATGATGAGCGGCCCCTGATGCAACGCGCAGCGTTCATTGCACTGTTTTCCAAGTTGGGGGATTGTCAAAACACTTCAGGTCCCCTGCCTGGTGAATGGACTTCAGTCGACAAAAGAGGGGGATCTGCACCAGAAGCATGCAAATTGCCCCCGTCACCTCAATTTGCGAAGAGGCTCTGAGTCAAACAGCACCCAAAGAAGAAAAAAAACCTGTGTCATGCTGGGCTGTCGGCGGTGGACACTGCCAGAGCCTGCGAAGGAAGGCAAAAGCCGGCAAAAAAACACTATTCACAAACAAATAAGACCTACAAGAATCTTCTGCAAATCCTACAAACCACGGCCCAAAACCCGGAAAAACTCTTATGCTCTCCGAAGCAGGTCGGAGAGGCTGGTGGCAAGGCAGGCTTGAAGTCGATGCCGCAGTAGACGTACTCTCCAGCCCTTCAGAGCAGATGATGCGCATGGGTGCACACAGGGATGCACACACACGGATGTGTATAGGTGCATGCATGTGTATATGCAGAGATATATAAAACCAGGCAAGCACACTCTACATGTACATATGCATATGCATATGTATATGTACATGTATATGTGTATGTACATGTACATGTACATGTATATGTATATGTATATGTATGTGTATGTGTATGTGTATTTGTAGATGTACATGCATACAAATAAGTATAAATACATACATACACACATACATACATACATACATACATACATACATACATACATACATACATACATACATACATACATAGATATATATATATATATATACTTGCATTGTCCTGACCTCGCGTCTTATCTATGGACGTGTCGATATTGACAGCAAAGATGTGCATGTAAGCACATGTAAGCACTATATAGGCTTTCATGTGTGCGGTCTACACTGAAGGTGCTCTGAGGGCCCCCGGCCCCTCCGCAGCGGAGGGCTTGGCTTCGTTCAGGCAGAAGTCGTCTCCACAAAGCTCCTGGCAATGGTGCAGTTCGCTAGTATAATTATTGTTATTATTATTATGCTTATTATTACTCTTATTATCAATATGATAATACATATTACTATCATTATCATTATTATTATCATCATTATTATACTTCTCAAACATGCCGGGGCGACTGATTGCTCCTGATGAGTTGTTGGTGCTTCTGATGTGGGAGAGGTTGGGCCTGAAGCCAGCAGTGTCCTCGGAAGGGGCAAATTGTGTCGCGGCAAAGGTGCCACGGCTAAGTAAGCCAGACGAGGCTCGTTGGAGGAAGGGCCCCAGGCATGGTTTCGGGTCCAGGCCTGCAATGTCAAAGACAGCCATTAAGGAACTAGAAGCCTCAGAAGCCCGAGCTCTGAAGCGACGAACCGGGGAGCGTGCGCGGCAAGCATCGCGTACCTTTGAAGAGCAAGAGTCTAAGGAGGGGTCTCTCAAGAATCCCAAGCCAGGACAACACCGGCGCCAGGGGCACGTGGGCATTTGTTGTGGCCATGTATCCAAAGGCTGGACGGTTGGCATGTAGCCTGCAAGAGAATGCACCAAGACCCCACCAAGACCCCACCGGGAGCGTCAGTGTTCATCTCAAGCCAAGGAGCTGCCAGATCCCCACATGGCAGGGAGGGACCTGGAGTGCAGGTTTCAGGCTCCAAGGGAGAGCAAGGGGCGGTTCAGGGCTCCCCAAAGCAAAAAAGAGGCCTTGTCGCGGCATCCCGGTGGCTGTAGGGATTGTAGGTCTGCATGAGAGTCGGGTCGGGGCAATCTCTTGCCAAGACGAGGCTTGGGCTGCGAGAATGCTGCGGCACATCCTCTCCACCTCACCGTCTTGGGGGTGGCGCCATGATCTTCTCTCTGCGCAACCAGCAACACATCAGCTGGCCAGGGCCACGGATGCAGCCGCCGCTTTTCCAGCCCGCCAAGGTCGGAAACACATGGAAAACAACTGGGCGCTTCCTCGTTGGCAACATGCAGATTAGAACCAGTCCTTAAATGCCCGGCCTGAACTGCTACGCTGCAATGGGTGGGGCCGTTCTTGCTGCAATGGGGCTCAGGTGCACCCCACACCCTGAAGAATAAGCCCCGAGTCCTCCTGAAGCTTCACTAAGCCCCTATCGAATTATGTCGCCAAGCACGATCAAGCCTTTTGAGCTTGATGCGAACTGCTGTCCGTCCTCGTCCCTGGGATCCCAGTAGTTCCCTTACATTTGGGCCATTTGGGTCTTTAAGTGATTCAACTTGGGTTGGAAATTATAGCTTCAAGTTTTTGGGTAGGGTTTAGGGGTGGCGGACTCCACCTAGGCCCTCCACTCATCTGCCCCAACAGGGCACAAAACGTAAAGCAGGTGGCCCTTGGCGGTCCAGCAATGTTCCTCACAAGACAACTACCCTACACCCTAAACCCTAAACCCCAAACCCCAAACCCTAAACCCAACTGCCTCTGCAAGGGTGACCCGGCAGGGCTCAGAGCGCTTTGGGTATTGGCCTGGGCAGTGATGCCACAGCCCTGAACCAGGTGCAACCCTGCGTGCTTAGGGCTTAGGGGTTTTGAGCTGGGGTTGAGTCATTCTTCCTGCAGCCACAACAACCATAACAGTAAACCCTGAAAGCTCATGTAAAAACTAGCAACGAGCCAAAACCCCAAAAGCCGAAACCCTCAAAGTGACGGCTACTTCGCACGTCTCCACCCTGAAGCTACGCATGTTGACGAGCGCTTTCTCAGTGCAGAAACACTTTCTGCGGGAGGTGGCATCGGGATATCCAGGAGTGGGCACTCACTGGATTCTTCGGGTGACGTATGCACTCCGGAGGCAGGGACACTCTGCGGCATTCTCTACAGAAATACTTGGGTTCTTTGGGGGTAGGAGACCAGGCAAAGAGAAGACCAACATAACAGAAGAAACTGTCCTCCTATCGGAGAACCTCTCCTGGGCTCTCGGCTGGATCCGAATCTCCCAAGGCCAAAGCCTGGGCTTCGGGCAGTCGAATGTTTCGGACTCAGGGTGCTCTAGGATCTGCGAGGAATCATGCTTCAAGAAAGATGTTTGGGGAATTCAAGGCATGATGTCAATGATGCCTGTTTCCTGTTTCTAATTTCAAAAATCCGCGTGGTGCTTCGACGCCAGCGACCCGAGGCCCGGGCCGCGGCTTGGGCCACAGGGTAGAACTGGGCCGGTCCTCCGGGCCTGGGGATTTCACTCCCATTCCCCATCCGTTTAGAGCCCGTGCCAGACACACACACACACACACCGGATTCAGTAAGAACTTGGGTGTAGGGTTTAGGGTCTCTGAGTAGGGAGTGTGGTCGATTGCTGTGATAGGCTCCAGGCGCACAGTGGCCGCCGCAGTCTGTCGACCCTGGGCTCCAACCCAAAAGTCATCAAAAGCCCACGATTGCGAGCTTCCTAGGTATGCTTCTTTTTATGGCCTCGAAGAAGGAGGTGTTTGGTGACCCTGCTTACAACTAAAGAGCACAAAACTCAGATGTCGACGGTCACGAAACCCAGAACGCTGAGCCTTGGAATCGGAAGGACTGGCTTCAGAACAAAAACATGCTAAGCAACAATAACAGGTAACAATATTGATGATTACATTGGAGAAATAAAACAACATGATGATAATACTCATGATGGTGAATGATACGAATCGTTCCTAAAAAGTTAAGCAGCACATGAACCAACATGCTCCCCTCGGGGGCAGGGCAGCATCAACATCTGAAGGCCCATGGCCGTTGCATCCGTCTGCCGCCCTTGCGCCTCGAGGTCATGCTGAGGATCTTTGAAGGCTTCAGAACTTCGCAGACGGTTCTGGCCGAGGCCCCGACCACAACTTGAATCAAGGTGCAGAGGACGATGGCAGTCACATCGATCAGGCCCTTTGTGAGAGCCTGGACTGCACTGGGGCCCTCTGAAAGCCTGAGGCATGGCCCATATGTCAACGCCGGTTGGGACCGCATCCACCCTAGCATCAGGAGCTCCTTTTGAATGCAAGTGGAATTACTACCCATGTCTTTATTCTCTGTATTCTTTCCAATTGCCTTTGCAATTGCCTCCGTAACCCTGCAAACTGCACTGTAAAACCGTTGCATCTCCAAGGCTGCGGCATCCAGCTGTTTCAGGACGCTCCCATTCAAGACCCCGCGCGCGACGACCTGCAAGCTCGTCAATACTAGTTCCTTGAGGTTCACGAGAAGCTTTTGTGGTGTTGGGCTTTCTTCGGGGCTGCACGTCCGGCGAAACGCGCTGGAAAAGCAACCTTATCCAAGAACCTTGGCCCTTGCGATATGAAGTAGGGTAGATATTTCTTGTACCCCCAAAAGGACACCCAACATATACACTCACCAAAATTACAAAGGAACCTTAAACGCACTGACCAATAACAGTAACATAAACCATGACAATGAAGGTATCTGATGGGCCCTGACATGGTCGACACATTGACGGTCAACTGTTTTCGAGGCTTCGAGCCACAGCCCAGTCGCCACCTGCAGCTTCTCAAGCAACCCGAACCCCCAAAAACCCTAAACCCACATAACCCACTTGGCCCACTGAACCCTTCAAACCTCCAAAAACCCTAAAACCCTAAACCCTAAGCCCTAATACCCTAAACCCTAAGCCCTAAACCCTAAACCCTAAACCCAGACTCAAACACCCCGGATCCCTCCGAGCTCCGAGCACAGCCAACGCTCAGCACAACTCTGAGCCTGGCTCCATGGTGCAAAAACCGTGCAGGTTGCCAGTTTTCGAGTTTCAGGGCTTAAAGGGCTTAAAGGGCTTAAAGGGCTTAAAGGGCTTAAAGGGCTTAAAGGGCTGAAAGGGCTGAAAGGGCTTAGGGTATTAGGGTTTCTAGAGGCTTTGGCATGTAGGCTTGGGGTCTGCAGTTCCAGAATGTAGGAGTGTTAAGGTGAATGAGTGATTGGCCAAGCCACCTGCACCTGGAGACATGTTCCTGGCCCAACAAAAAGACAATGCGTCCGGCCAGAAGGCTTCAGGCGTCAGCCGCACCGACAACAAAACGTAGAAACGACAACAACATGACAACAATGCAACCGCGACAAAGACCGCAAAGCCTGGTCAAGCAAGAGGGCGTGCTTGACTCCAAACAAAGCAAGGCAAGGCCTGCCACCTGCAGCCCTCCTTGCAACCGCCGAGTTCGGCAGTGCGCAAACGCTTGCCATCCGCACTCTTCCACCCCTGTGGGTCCTTCTATGACTCCTTCCAGTTCCAGTGGCAGCATGAAGCCCAAAGCTTACGAGCTTCATCTGCCGAAGGAGGTGGATGTCCATCAGGACATGAAAGGACGTCCATCAGGACATTAAACCCTAAATTCCTAAGCCCAAGATTTTCAACTTTTCAAGCCCAACACCCTAAACTCATCTGTGAGAAGCAGAAGACGCGCAAGCTCCACGGGAGAAACTTTGAAGGGCTGGAAATATCCTCCAGGTCCTCAACTTGCTGCGACAGAGAGACAGAAAGAGTGAGAGTGAGTGAGAGAGAGAAAAAGAGAGGGAGAGAGCGCTGCTACTGCCGAAAGTAAGGCCAGAGCTGGAATCATCGAGCCCCCTGCAGGCGCTGGGACGATGACTCTTTTGTGGCTCGAGGTCTCAGGTACTTAGCACTATAGCAGCCGGTGACAGCCAAACTTTCCCCGTGTCGCGTACCCAGGACTTCCTCCTCTGGGGTGCTGTGGACCTCGCCGGCTCGTGCACTGCGCAAGGCGGGGCTTTCGGGTCGTTTGTGGCATAAGAGAAAACGCAGGGGAAGTGAGCTCGCCGGCCTTGTGCAGGGACTGCATGGTGACTAACAGCGCACCTCTCCGCGGTCTGCCCCAAAAGGCTCACTCCGTGCTACGGGGCTTTGAGGCCCAGCATGCAAAAGGAAAAAGCGAATGCGATGACTCTGCGCCTGCCAAAACACCCGAATACTGTACTATGGCGCTATCAATGCAAAAGGTGCAAGCTCTTGCTGCAACGACCCTGCACGGAAGGAATGACACACAACGGAGGCAAGGGACCTTTTCCCTAGACGGCTATGGTATGACAGCAAGGCTGGAGAACAATGACAGCGGTCTGCATCACTGCAACGCCTGTTAAACCGACGGCATTGAGCTGATGCAGCTGGATAAACAAAGGATCCTGCGAGAGGCTAGCAAACCGAGAGTTGAGTCTCACGATTGGCTTGGAGTTTTGGTTCTGCCATCACACTACAATGGAGGCGCCCGGGTTCTTCGATCAAGCCTAGTGCTGTGAGTGGGACTTGTGGGTGTAGATGTGCGCATTTCCCCAAATAGGCGTCCCCCTGATATACCCCAAAATGCCATACTCCTTGTTCTAGGAACCGCCAAAAATATTTTGGAAACCCCATCAGCTCCAATATCAGGTCTATAAGGTGTTCTGCCTTTGGGATAGTTTAGGGCACACTTTTCCAACGGATCAAGGCCCCAATGGGCCAATGGCAAAGATCAAGCCCTGGATCCCAAACCATTCTCCTTCTTCGAGGACTTCAGCTGCCGCTCGAGATAGAGGGTCCCAAAAGCAGAGGTCACGATGACCCCGAGCATGGCGGCAAACTGGGCACGTGTAGGTTTCGGAGTTGCCTTGCTGTGGTTGTGAGGTTTAGATAGGGTTCAAGGCTGCTTCTCTGAGGGTTGGGGTCATGCATCGCAGTGGCTGTCCTTGCTTTGGGACTTGCGCTCCAGGTTCTTTTGACGTCCCATTCATTCCTGATAGGGCATTCGGGCTGCAACCCTAACTCTTATAAGGGCCTATAACATAGGGACAATGACTCTCTACTTCCCTGCGACTAAGAAGCTGAGGCTTTGATAAACGTGACACCCCTGTTGCTTCGGCGGGTTCCCTGAACACCAAACACTCCATCACTCCATTCACCTTGCAGGCCCCCCCAACTCCCAACCCGAAGCCCAGAACTCCAAGCGTACCAGCAACTGAGGTGCAGACACTGATCACGAAGGACATGTGGTCGGTCTCCACCTTCAGAAGAAGCCCTTTCATGCATCCTTCGGAATACTCGGAATGCACTCTTGAAGGCGCCTCCACGTCCTCCGCCGGGGGACCTCTGGCCGACAACAGGCAAAAACTAGAATCACCGCTAGACACAGGCGGGGTTTGTTTTCGGTCTACGGTAAGAGTGCGGTTTCCGGTTCAGCCTGGTTTTAATGGGTCTTGTTGGAGTCCCAGATTCTGTCAAACTATGTTCCGAAGGTCGTAGGTGTTAAGGGAAAAGGGGCGGGAAGGGGCGGATACTCAGGGAAGTCGATGTCTCAGTTGAGCGTGCTGCCGCATTGCGGTAGGCTCGCGTGCCAGCACACCTTTTGCTGGCGTGTCGAGGTCTTTATCCTGGCTTCGCACGAACCAAGTAAAACATCTGCTCGTGGTGCTTGTCAGGTCGGCAATTGTAGGCCGATCACTGTGCTGAGCATTTGGTGGCGATTGTTCTGCAACTGCATCCTCTTGACGGACGTGTAGAAGCTGGGTTCGTCGACGCGTGCCTCCTGAGTATGATGTTGGCTCTATAAAGCTTCTACTGAAGAAGTTGTCGTAGACTTGCTTGAGAAGTCTGCGCAAGAAGGGTAGCTTTGCGCAATGGACTTTTCGAGAGCTTTCGACTTGCTGCACCCAGGCGTCACTGAAGAGCTGTTGTTGTACATTGGTTGGCCTCCTGACTTGGTTGCTATTTTACCGCTGTTTGGTCGCAGCAAAAGAGTTTCACGGCAGGCCTTTGGTTGCGCCTGCTTTGACTCAAGCTATGGGGCCCCCTGACATGACCGTTTGGGTCATGACCAGTGACTCCTTTGTTCAATGCCAGAGTCCTCGCGACCGCAGCATGGTTGCCTCTTCTGTTCTTCTGCTGCATCGCCGTGGTCATGCTTGGACCTCTTTGGAGTGGTCACCGGCAATGCTGTTCTTGCTGAAAACGAGGTGAAAACTTTTGCGATTGGCAAAAGCTTGAAACACTTCAAGGAGCTTCTCGACATTCGGTGGTGACCTGTTCAAAACCGATGTTGAGTTTCTTGGTGCTTCCACGCTGTCTAATCAGGGGGCTGTGGGCCAAAAAGAGGCTGGTCGGCACTCTTGCCCGTGCTCGTGGCCTTCAGCGGGTCGCTTTCATGCTCTTGACAGCAGGCAGGCTGCAGCATTTCGTTCGGGCTTGGCGTGCTTGGGGGCTTGGTCAGCACCGTGCCTCGGGAAGGCATGATGTTGATGCTCTTGATTGTTTCGATCCCTCACGCCCTTACTTTCCCAGTATCGACTGGGATGCCACGTGCAAGTGGGCTTACAGCAATCCTTCCGCGCTTACGCATGCTTGTGAGCTTGGGACTTAAGAGCATGTTGTGTGGCACCGTCCGCACAGACCGGTTGGTGCCTTTCGTCGCCGTCCTCGCCTGGCTCGTTGTGCTAGCTGGGGTGGAATTGCGGAAGGCCAGAATGTGAACTTCGATGCTCTTCATCGATGGCTGCTTGTCGTGCAAAGGAAGCTCTGGGCAACGGTTCATCCTTGGCGTGGTTTGTTGCCGTTCTTCGGGGCTAGTGGCTCGCCGTCCTCTCCTTTTTGGGTCAAGGTAGTGTGAGAGTCCGGCAGTTCTCTGCCGACGTGAGTTTACGCAGGCCTTCCCGCCTGTTTGGGGGGCATTTGCACCACAAAGTTTTACCAGCAACACACTACCCGGTAGGCTTCGTACTTCCGCACCACCTAAACCCTCAAGCCTAGACCTTGCGCCTACTCACCTACATGCGAAACCCTGGAAGAGTAACCCTAGTCCTAAACCTCTAAACGCTGAAACGTGAAACCTTGCGAGGATTTCAAAGCCCACTCTGGGCGCAAGGCTGCCGGCCGGTGCGGCCCCAGCTTTCAGGGCCTTCGCAAATCATGCATCTCGAGGTAGGGTGTAATTGGGGTGTAGGGATGGCTGTGATCTGGCAGAGCAGCGCAGGTTATTTGTACATGCGAGGCACAGCTATGGCCCGATCATGGAAAGCCATCCACATGTTTCTCCCACCCCGCGCTGTCAAAGGCAGCAAAGCCGCCGCCAAATAGTTCGTCTAGGGTTGAAGCCCAAACGCATTTTTGAATGTGTAGGCATTTTCTTGACTCTTGAGGCGCTCAAGAAAATGTCAACTTAGGGCCTTAGCGAGGGGGGGGGGTGGGGAGGGGGTTCTTCAGTTGTTTGCTTCTGGAGGTTTGGGGAAGCCTGGCGAGGCTTGGGTTGGGGACAAGTACTGAGCCCCAGGAACAAAGCCGGGCACATGGACATGCTTAGCATCGAAACACCATACTGGGCGGCCTAAGCCCTGAGTTTACGGGTGGGCTTTCAGGAATCAAGGGCTCTAGGCTTTGAAGGGGGTTTTGGGGCAAGCCTCAGCGGGAAGGAAGTGGCATCCCACCTCCCCCGCCACAGCTCCGGCCTGGACAGGGTATAGGCAAAATCCCGCAAAGCCAAGGACAGGCTTGCAAAGAGCAAGCGGCAGCAAGCGCAGCACCTTGTACCAAACCAAGACGACCTGTCAGCATGCAACGGCACAAAAGCTCCTCGCCCCTTCTAGAAGCCATTTGCGTTGAGGTAAGGGCCATTCCAAGAACAAGTTGCAACAAGGAGATCCAGACCTTGGAGGGTTTGTGACATGGGGTCAGTCTGCCACAGCTCGCTGAACATGCTTCCAGAAAGCTGCCTCGGCCCAACTTCACACGGTCATTCAGGGCCGTCGCAGTAAGGACATCCGAGGACAGGGCAGTAACTGGCTGCTGTATTTGGCTAGCTATTCTCATGAAAACCTCGGCTCAGACAGACATCTCCCTGTGCTTTTGCTGCCTCATGAGTTGACAACTGAACCCCGGGGATCTGAGGCACCAGGCAGCAATAATGGCGACGCGGAGCCTGCTTCGTCAGGCTTCAGACCAATGCCAGGCATCTGCATTCCCTTCTGCAATCTCCCCTACCGTTTAGTGTACAGCTTCGGCCGGCCCTCAAAGGGACATGCAAGAGTTCCTCCCTGAAGACCCCGTGCCCAGAGAAGGGCCACAAGGCCCACGCTGTGCCAGCAGGTAGAATTGGCTAGCCCCGAAACCTGCATTTTGCGGCATGCTTGCTCTTGCGGATGTGGGACTTAACACAGCCATGAGGCCAGGGATCCTGGGTAACCCGAGCCATGCGCCTTTGATGGCCGGGTAGGTCAAGAAGCCCGCCCAAGAAAAAGCTAGCGAAGCCGGCATGAAGGACAGGTACCTGGAAGCTGCTTTACTTTCCAGGGCACCCCCTTCTGTTTGCAAAACAAGAGATCCTGAAACCTAAAATCCGGGACATCCCTGGCACCTCCACGGTCTGAAACATCTCCTCATGCCTGTCACACCTGGAGAGAGCTGGGTGGGGCTTTAGGGGGGTGTTAACTGGGGGTTTACAGGGCTGACGGGGGGGTTGACAGGGCTGACGGGGGGCAGGGCTGACCAGCGGGTTTAGGGCTTTGGGGCTCGGCAGGGCCGGGGACAGGACTTAGGTCTTAGGATTTTGTGGCCTAGGGTTTATGGTGGGTTGAGTCTGAAGGGTATGTACGGTGTACTGTACCCACTTGCCCCGCTACGAAGACCCTGTAGGCAAGGGGCCCCTCCATGGGCAGAACAGAGGCCCTCCGAAGGCCTTCTTGCATAATGGCCAAAGACAGGCCACCGAAAAAGTACGTCACGGTCTCTGCCTGCAGTGGCTTGATTCCGCAAAACTTGCACACCTGGGTTCTCCGGTGCTAAGAAAGGTTTGGGGGTCGTCGGGTTTTCGAGATTGGGCAGCTGGGCCCCTGGCAAGAACCATGAAGTATCCCGGAAAGCCTTGGGACATGCTGCATTCAACCATCCATTCCCTCATGACGGATCCAGGGCGTCAGCTTTTTGAAGCTTGCTCCTCCATGGAAAGCATGCATCTGACATCATCTCATCGGGTGCCGAAGCAGAAGAAAAAAGGTCTCGTCTCCAGCCTGCATCCCTACACCACGTCGACTGTTCATGTGTGGCTATCGTCCCAGGTCTTGGTCCTGCAGGAGGGGAGCCATGGCATCCACCAGCACACAGGTCGCCTGGCAATGACACGGGCAGATTCCCCACGCGTGCATCGACTTGCATTACATCGACTTGCAGAAGCTTTAAGAGGGTTTTCGACGGCTTAGGACCCTGACTGAGAGGGGGTGCTGGGCCCAAGCCCTCCTTCTCGCAGGCAGTTGGGTGGCACAAACCCAAGGCCATGGGTGCAGGTTACAACCTGGGCCTGACCTGAACAACGAAGACTACCGGTGTGGTAGATGATGACATGGGCCTACTTTCTCTTTTGGATCACCGTGTACGGATGCCTAGAACCCCGTACTGTCTAGAAAGGCCCCCGAACACTGAGAACAAACCCGAACATGCCAGAGGAGCAATGAGCACGGCTTTGGCAGACTCGCCTCCAGTGGCTGTTGGAGCTTCGAGGCTTGGCGACTCAAAAATCCGACATTTTGGGGCTTCTGCGTCGTGAGCTTGGGGCTGGGGCTCAACGCGTAGGCAGGCTTCACGGTTTCCGCTTCAAGGCCGACACTGTCCACGAAGTCACGAAGCAATCAGCGCCCGTTCCCAGATTTGCGGCTGCTTTCGATCTCTTCGTTGAAGACAGCGCAGCATCCACCCCCCGCCCCCTCCCCCCCCCGCCCCCCCCCCCCCGCCCCCCCCCCCGCCCCCCCCCCCCCCCCCCGCCCCCCCCCCCCCCCCCCCCCCCCCAAACATCTTACGCGTTCTTTCGAAGCAACATGCCAAGGAGATCCCTCCAAAAGAGACGAGCCTGGCACGGCAGGTGCCGGTTCTGCCACCGCGGTATGAGTAGTGTGAACCGGCAGGTGGTGGTCCTTCGAACCCTAAACCCTAAGCCCCTAAGCCCCTTTCAACTCAACACAAGCCCCATCTACAGATATGTACCAGCATCTGAAAAGCAAAGGACAACTGAATACTACACTCACTCAACCCGTAATCCTAAGCTGGCTGTCGTTTCATCTTCCGTCAATTTCACAGCTTTGGAGCCTTGCGACACCACATAGGGGTTTAGGATTTAGGGTCTTGGGTTGAGGTCAAACTGAAGCCCTGTGTCCTCCCCCATGTCCTTCGCAGCCTGCGCAGGACTTGGGTCACAATAGGTCATCTCAAAGGCGTGGTCAACATGACTTTGCATGTGTATATATATATATATATACATATCTATGTATATATATATATATATATATACATATACATATATATATATTTTTTTATTTATCTATTGATTTATTTATTTATGTATTTATTTGTTTATTTATTTATATGTATATGTATATGTATATGTATATGTATATGTATATGTATATGTATATGTATATGTATATGTATATGTATACGTATTTATTTATGGTGTTTAGGTTTAGGGGGTTTTGCAGGGCTTCGGTGAATTCATTCCGGTCCCAGTCACCCTACATGTTCAAAACCTCAAACCCCAAACTCCTAAACCCCTCGAGCCCGAGTGACAAGCAGATGGGAAATTGTGTGAGCCTCCACTGCCGACGCGCAAGGGACGGCGGCAGTCGTGCTCTCTGCCGTCCAGTGCTTGAGCCTTGAGCAAGCTTGGTAGGGTTTAGGGCAGTTTAGGGTATGTGCTGCGCTCTCTCGCCCTGGATACTCCCCTTGAAACAGCGCTCGCCTGCAAAGCGGCATTCAGCTAGGACTTCGAGGCGCAGGACTGCACCATGGCCCAGCAAGCTTTAGGGCTTAAGCTGCGAAATCTGGGTCTTTAGCTGCTGAGCGACATTCTACTGAGAAGCCGGCGGAAATGCTACACGCCGTGTAGATGTCATGCTGAGTAGTTAAACAGTCACGGGTCTCAGGGCCAGGTGCCCGTGGTGGAAGAAGCCGCATTGTCCGGTACCGCTTAGGAAAGGATGCGTCTGCGCTGAGTAGCGCGTAGGCATTCGCCATGTGGGCTTCGGGCTTTTGGGCTTAGGCTTGGGGTGCGCACTTGCACACACGGCCGATGAAGTAAGCCAATGCTGCAGCGAGCACGCTTCGGGGCAACGCTCTGCAATGTGCATCTGGATTGCATGCAAAGCTTTGCCTGTTGTCACCTGCCTTATCAGTGTCCGACCGTTTTTCTTAGTTCATGAAAGCGCCACCTTTCAAATCCTGGTGTTCTGCGTTCCCTGCGGTCTGCGGTTGTGACAACGCAGGAGGGAGGCGCTGTTTTTGCATGTAGGCGAGTACATCCCAGTCCATGAATCCACATCCCGGTCCGGATGCACCCTGGACCCCAAGACCTTCCTCTTGCAATACGGGTCAGCCTCCCTGGTCTTCGTCAGCTGCCGAGTTGCAAACTCAACCCACATCAAGCCCGCTGCCGGCACTGCAGCTGCTTCATGAAGCTGAGAAGGAAGCTACACACAGAGCCCTGTCGTCTAACTAAACCCTGATCTCCTCCGTTGCATTGCAACATGGGGGCAAGCAAGGCCACCGCTCCACGACAAAGATGCCCACGATGCAGCTGGAGACTTTGAGGAATCAATCAGGCATCACAAGGCCCAGAAGCCGTGGACTGGGCAATAGGATAGCCCTGCTAGGGTCCACAACAGCTACCCCAGATTTAGCAGGGACAAATATGTTTCCCCATACTTGGAAACCCGGAGGTATCCGTGGCGGCTCACAAGCGCGTGAAGAGCTGACTCAGCTGCCGGGTCTTATCGCCACACCTTGGTGCAAGGGGGTAGAGTTCAAGGGTTCAGCCTTGAGGGCTTGGTGCCTAGGGCCTATGCGTCTACAGGAGTTTGGGGTCTTGCGTTTTGGCTCTTTAAAGTGTACGAAGCTGTGAGGTTTGTAGGGCTTGGTCTATAGGGCCGAATGCCCAATGCGCTCTTGCTTTGGGGCTCGACGGGTGCTGTCCAGTTCATGGGCTCCCCAGCCTGTTACCAGGGAACTCGCTGCAAGAACTGTATGGACGGCAGTCTTGGCACTCTTGTTTGAGATGCCAGGACGAGGGGATTGAAACTTCTGACAGCTCAGCACCTTAGGCCGATCTGTCGAGTACATTAGCTTATTATGCCCTCCAGGTTCAGCAAGTAAGTTCCCACGATCACCACAAGCACAGCGGTCAGTGGCGCAACCATTGGGCAACCATGGCGGCTGAACTTGCAGAGCCGCATGACCCGCGCTAGGCGGGCGAAACGCTCCAAGATGAACAACCGGAGGACCGGCAAATGGAGGAGGTGGTCGAGATAGATCTCCATCACGGCTATGACATCCAGTACGTTCAAAGCTTGTGAGAAAAAACTTTTCAGGGTACTCCATCCCGGGTGCAACGCGCAGCGTGCGACTATCCTCAGCACTATCTCGATCGTGAAGATTGTCGCAAAGAACATGTCACAACCCAGCCAGAAGAGATACTCGTCCTCCGACTGGTCCTCGTCGAGGCCGGACACCATCGGTTCTACGATGATGGCAAGAACGGAGAGGATCGTCAAGGCAAGCATGGTATAGACAACGCAGGCTGATGCCATTGATACTTGTGGCCTCTCGAGGAGGTCTATGATAGTCTGTGCCCAAGCAGGACTGTCCCCGAAGGTTGACATTGGCTGATTGACCAGCATCCTCTTCGAGGAGTTGACGTTGCTCGTCAAGGACTGGCTGACCTGGCTAACCTTCTTCTTTACCCTCTGGCAGTGTCGGTCCCAAGCACGCCTCGGCCGCACATCGTGTTCAGACATAACAGACTTTGGTGGAAGACGGCCCTTTCCACGCTGGAGGTTTGTCAGGAAGACAGTCAGAAGACTGCACGTGTCGAGGTGAGTGCCCATGCCTTCGCCACGGCGGATCCAGTCCGCAGCCCACAGCATCTCCTCGTGTGGCGTGAGATCTCCGCCAGTGTCCTCCGAATGGCGCATCCTGCAGTCCTCAAGCAGGTCCTTGTTTAGGTGGCCCGTCAGCGTCTCCACACCCATGAGGTCGAAGACTCCTTGAAGCAACTTCCAGTCGCGCTCACGCCGTTTTACATAAAATGCCACGATCCCGGCAAACTGACTGCGGGTAACGTGGGTGTCTGGGGCCGTCTCCTGGCCCCATGCCGCTGAAACGGCATCGTTGATTGCGAAGTCAAGGGAGATGCCCAAAAGCATCTTCAGCATGTGAGAAACATCGGCCACAAGCAGCTGCATCTGTCCATGCACCTCGTGCTCATGCGACTGACACAGCTCCACGATCTTCTCCATCTGCTCGGGATGCAGCCGTGCCAGGTGCGATTCGCGCCCTAGCTCCAGGAACTCCTCCAAAGTGAGGTCCTTCTCGTTGACTTCATCAGCTAAGATATGAAAGATCCCGACGTACAGCAAGGCATCAATCACACGACTTGCAGGTAGCAAGATCCTGCCATGATCCCTTGGATCACCTGAGAGGTCTTCCTTCTCCGCAAATGTGAAGTAGGCCAGGCGCAAGTCGTCAAGAAGCATCTTTGGCAACTCAGGGAGGTGGCCATCCTCCCGACACTTCCTGAAGAAGCCCTGCTCTCCGAGGGCCTTGGCAAAGTGCATCTCCATGATCCTCGTTTGCAGCTGTGGCAGCTTCTTCAACTCCTCGCGCTCAAAGGTGTCTCCCAAGTCAATGGGGCTGCACAGCGTTGCGTTCTCATCCAGACGCTCCGACGGGATCGTAAGGCTCATGAGCTCCTCCTCTTCTGAATCTTCCTCGTCAATCGCTGTGACCTCGAAGTCCTCTGGGGACACCTCGCGTTGTAGGAGCCTGCTTGTGCCGATGTCCTCCATGCTGAGGTCAGATGACTTGCTCTCGGGTGCTCGGTGGAAATTGTGCTCGCCCTGCTGTCGCATCACGGCCTTGGAGATCTCCTGCATCATCAGGGGATGCTCGTTGGTCATCTTCCACCACTGCTCCTCCGTCCAGAACAAGACCTCTCCGTCTTCCACCGCCAATGCGTAGCTCGAGGAAGGCTGACCAAACATGCACTTCTCGTTCACAAACCAGCCCTGCCTGAGAATGACGCGTGGCTTCTTCCAGGAAGCCTTCCTGTTCAAGATCTGGTCTGAATCAGGAACTTGATCCAGGATGGCGATCGCTCCCGAGTGAATCAGGTAGAGGGGCCGGTGCTGGTCCCCGGGAATGCACAACATTGTCTTGAAACCTTTGATTGGCAAACGGCTGCAGTACCGCCATGGACAGCCCATGCGCGCGCCGTCGGACAAGAAGACTTCCCTGAAGGGCTCGAAGTTTACCCGTTGCAGCATCAGCTCCCTGTCTCGTCGGAAGGCCGGGTGAAGGTTCATCCACTCTTCTTGCTGGCTCATCTTATACTTCAGAATGCGCTTCTCCAGGTGAGTCATCGCCGAGTCGAGGTCTTCGAAGAGATCCTCTGCCGACTGAAGGATGCTTCGCACTCCAAGCTCCTCGGCCAAGCCGACTTTGATGTTGCACCAGATCACTCGAAGGCCCCGCTGCTTGGCCTTGCGCGACAGCTTTGCCATGCTCATGGCGCCAGAGGCATCCATGCCATCAAGAGCAGAACCGTCGAAGAGCAGGAACTTCAGCCTTCGGTACGCCGGCACATTGTCTGCATCCTCGCGCTTGAAGTACTCCTCCACGGAACGCATGATGGCAACACAGGAGCTGAAGAAGACGTAGCCCTTCAAGTTCACAATCAGGATCCAAGCTGAAGCGATGTGCATGAAGCTCTGATGGCCAACCTCACCCACGGGCCGCTCGCGCGTGGTCACCTGGTCGCCACGCTTTGGCAAGCCGTCCATGGAGGGAACACGGGCATACTTGGCGATGAATGCCATTGCTGACAGAATCAATCCAGCGACTACTGCCCAAATCATGCTCTGACCCAGGGCGATGAACACTATCAAGATCACAACGATCTCCATCCACTCGCTGAAGTGCAAGAACTTCCGTGAGCCCCACATGTTGTCTGTGACAAATCCAGCGCCGGCAAAGAAGAGCAGTGCACTCAGAAACGGCTTGGGAAGGTAGTTGAAGTGCTCCACCGTAGTGAAGTAAGCCGCACCGCAGAGCACAGCAAAGATCATACCTGCTCTACGGTCATGTGCATTGCGCATGATGCCATAGCTGATAACATTGAACTTCAGCTGCATGTATCCAGTTGCTGCGCCGCAGCATGCGAGAACGCAGTTGAATATGCCGAAGGTGAGTGCTTCATCGTCGGTAGACACCTTCAGTGGGAGCTTGCTTTCAGTAGCGTGGAGCTTCAGAATGCAGTCCATGGTCGACACGATCAGCATCACGCCAAGATTCGGGAGCGTCGTGGCCCATGCGCTGAAATTGATGTTTATGGTCGAGCCAAGACTGTCCAACCAGACAAGATAGAAGGGCTCGTTCTGCACTTCAGGGAAGAGCCAACCTGCTTCTCGCACCATGGCAGGCGATTGCTCCGTACCAAGCACAATCCCCCAGAAGACGGCCAGCGGAAGCAGCAACCCCAGAGGCATCATGATGGTGGGATTCCCGATGTGCAGGGCCTTGATGAAGTAGAGGGCAATCCCGAAGAAAGCAGCTGTGAAGAACTGCACTGGGTCAAAGTCACAGAACTTGATGGCATAGTAGAAGACCTTGTAGCCAACGCAGGCCAGAAAGGCTTCGGAGATGCTGTAGGGCATGTAGCTGACGTACCTCGTGAGCTTCAGCTTCCCAAGGAGCATCCAGAGGATGGCCAGCAATAAGGTCGAGAAAGCCACTGCAAAGATGGTCGTTGCCCGCAACTGCGCGTGGTAGGACTCGCACTCCTGAGGGTTGGCCATCAGGTGGTCACCCTTACAGAAGTACTTCGTCGGGTCGCTCTTCTTGAGCCGCCTGCTGGAGCTTGAGTAGCCCTCGAAATCTTCAAGGGCCAGGCTTCGGGTCAGCTCGCTCGAGATGGTGATCACCCAGTCGCCATAGAACACTGCGGGGTTGAGGTCCGTGCCGCCGATGGCAACTGGAATCCCGGAGAAGACAGACATCAATCCACCACCGATGAAGGATGCTGCCAGGCACATCTTCACACCCAGTGCTCGATGTGCAGCGTTCCGCTCTTCGCTGAACATTATCATTCCGTACGAACAACACATGCCAAACATCAGCATGTGGTTGATAAGGGCGGAGGCCAGTGCACCAGCGAAGGAGCTTACCTTTGACTGGTTCTGTTGTTCTGCAGTCTGGTGCTCCTGACCAGCTCCGACTGGCTCCATGAGTGACAGCGGGGTGATCATTCGCTTCAAGCCCCCCGTGTGGTGAGAGACTTGCTCCAGCGACTGGGCCAAGTTCCGCGTGTCCTCACCATGGATCATGGTGTTCAGGTGCGCGCTCTCCGCCCGCGCGGCATGTTCGATCTCGTCCACCGCTTTCATGGAACGTGCTGCCATGGACAAGCTTGTCTGAACTCTGGTAGCTGTAAGGCCTGTGAAGCCTGATGATGTCATGTCTACTGGCAGGTTGCATAAAGCAGCTACTAAGTTTCTCACAACAAGCGCACAACAATCGGACACATTGAATTCTATGGACTAGCTTGAGCCATAGTGGAGTGCACCCTAAAATGGCAAATGTGCCCATGTTCGTCTGGACTCTGTCTTGGGGTACAGTAGTTTTTGCCTTTGCCGAAAGTTCTCTTTGACTGATTGAAGCGAGCTCGCGGAAGAAATAAGAAAAATGGCATCAGAAAGGATAGCGTCATGAACAGAGCGGGCTTGCAACTCAAATGACGTCAAGTGCCATGGCACCACCAGTCACCACCAAACACAAATACTACCATCACCTCGAACACCAGCCGTGATGTGTGCACCCCAACGTCCTGCTCCAGCCCGGACCTTGCAGGAGGAGGGACAGCCGAGTAAAAGGGCTCCAACACCTTAGCTCCCAGGAAGCAGCTCCCTTGTGGCACGCAGCTGACGTTGCCGGAAGCTTGCATTATGTCTGTGTAGGCTCGCTCATCTCGCCCTTTGGGAACTGGTGCACTCCAAAGCCCTCTACGGTTTGCAGTGGCTTCCGATGCCCGATACCCGTTTAACACGAACATCGGCAGTTCAATTCATCGAACCAGCTCAAAGCAGTTCAGAATAGATCAATCCAGCGTCGCCATGAGCTTTGACCCCCTACATGGTCTTCTGACCCGAAGATGGCGCCTCCAAAAAACAAAATGCAAGCCACCCGATATCCCAAAAGCTAAAGGGGACCTACCCAGCTACCCAACTCTAGTGCCATAGGTGCCGAAGGCTGCTGGACATGGACTCTTGCACTACCCAGCTGCACAACAGCTACTGTTCCTTTGCAAAAGCCACTTGCAAGCCAAAGAACTCTGTGAACCCAAGGAATGGCACCGTTCTGTTGCATTCCGTTCCGCGGACAGATACGAATACTGGCTCAACATGCCGGGCGATAGATCGACCTTGGGCACCTAAAACCTTAAAGCCTAGACCTCCCAAACCCCATGCTTCAGAGGCACAGTGCACTCGGCGCGCATCTCCGTGTTGCTCGTTTCTGGCTCTGGCATGCGGAATCATGCGGACTTCGTTCTCCGTAAGGCGCTTTGCCAAATTGCCAGGTTCCGGTTAACAGATGCATGCCTCGCCTCCATCTCCCTGCATGGGTTGCGGGCTTGGGGCAAATCATGCATCTCCACCCTTGAGAAGCACCACTGTGTGCACCCTAGGCTTGCCTTGCACCGTGGGGTTATTGAAAAAAACCGCAGGCGAAGAATATGAAGAATGCGGACGAGGCAAGCATGCCTGGAACCAGAAACGTGCCTTCCAGCCGTGGCAGTGCACATCGAGCATCGCTCGTTCCCACCACGGAAGCAAGACGAAACGTTTCTACACTACATAATTACGAAACAAAAAGGGGCCTGCAGCGGCACAGCCTGCACGATGCGGCCGCTGCAAGCAGGTGCTCTTTCAGACCTATCCCTATCCTCTCTTGGACCTGGGGCCTCGGTAGCTGCGCTTGGGCTCATCAGGATGGGAGAAGTGGCAGAAACGGCACTCATGGCCACGGCTGCACTGCCCGCGTAAGAACTGCTTGCAGACATTTTGGCAGCGAGTGCTGTCCCGCGGGTGAAGGCGAGACCCTTCCGAGGGCAGGTCGCGCAGGTCACGTAGACGTGGCGGCGCAGAAGCGGAGCGGGCAGCTTGCACGGCCAACTCTTCCTGGGCGCTCGTTCCCAACACGGCCACGCCAGAAAAGGATAGCTGTCCATTCTGGCCTTGGCTGGGAGTAAACACAAAAATCTCACCTCTTCCACAGTGGTACGATGGATGATCGATGATTGTCAAGGAGAATACATCCTCAGCACTGACGGTGGACGGTTGGCGCACGAGCTGGTCTTCACCTGCGGTCGTCACAACCACATCACCTGTCTGAAGGCCACCGGCCTGCTCGTGGATCCAAGACCCAGAGCGGCGCACGCGCAAGGGATGGTCACTGGTGACTCGGAAGCCCCCACCACCCTGCAAGGAAAAGCCCGCCAACTGTCTACTTGCAGAGCTTTGCAGCAGAACTTCGCACATGCGATTGCCATGCGGGCCAGCTGCACAACACACACGGCGCAATCTGGCAGCCCACTCGGTTGGCACCAGCAGGTACGTGCCGCAGGGCACGCAATCCTCTGAAACACACGGATCGGGGGCTGCCTGATCCACTGTGGGGCCTAGGCTGTCGGACTCGATGAGGAGCCACCCGTCTCTTGTGAAGACCTCTTCTTCTGCCATATCTGCCATAGGTACCGGCTCCTGCTTCGCAATCTCAGCGTCAAGCTGGCCATGCTCCTCGCCAGTTCCATGACGATGCTAGACTTTAGACGTTGTAACACACATAACGCACTCAGAACATGTGTTCAGCATGCAAGAAATCGAGCAGCTCACTGCTGAAATGCTACCTACAGATTGCAGCAAACTGCTGCCGTCCTGGCAGGAGTCGCTCGCTTTGGGCGGCTGTTCCGTGGCTTCTGCGGCTCTGCATGCAAAGCCCACCACAGGAATCTCATCAAGGAGCTGCCCTTTCTCCTTGTCAGGGCCGTTATGGTTCTAGGAGACGTGCTGTCTATGCTGTCATGACATGCAGATGACGTGTCAAAGTTCTTGTTTTGAATGCATTTCTCGCCGGCTATTACATGTAGTTTGTCGATTGTAGGAGGGGCTGTTCAACAATCGCCAACAACCCACCAAAGTCTGAACAGTTAGGTAGTTAGGTTCGTAATGTCCCCAAAAATGCATGTGTTTTTCCCCATTCTCGGGGTGTTTTTCTTCATTCTCGGTCGGCGACGGTTTTGATTTGTATTTTGCCGGTTCGTTTGTTGGGCCTTGGGCCGCCCCGGTCCTCATCCGAGGGTTCTTAATTCTATTCTACGGGTTTTGGCCAGGGCAGTCTGGGGGGGGGGGGGGGGGGGGGGGGGAGTGGGGGATTGTGGGTTGAGAAAGGGTTCAAGGTTCAGGCAGAGCTCAGTTGGGTAAAGGTGGGACTGGCAGGGAATAATGGCAGGGTATGGCACGGAAAGGTGGGGAACTGTGGGGAATAGTGGGGAATGGTGGGGAAGGGTGGGGAATGGCGGGGAAGGTGGGGAATGGTGGGGAATGGGGGGATGGTGGGGAATGGTGCAAGTGGTGGTAATGCTGGGATGCTGGAGAATGGTGGACATTTCGGAGGGGCGGAGGGAGGGGTGGAGAGGGGTGGAGAGGGGTGGAGAGGGGTGGAGAGGGGTGGAGAGGGGTGGTGGAGGGCCTCAGACGCCTCAGACATAACCGGCACCACTGTGAGAATAAACCTCCAAACCTGGGGGACAAGACAGGCGGAATAGGAAATGGAACTGCTGAATACACTGAACAAACCCGCCGAATAAATCCCGAAAAAAACCTGCCAAGTCCTTGACCAGGCCAGGGGAGAATAAGAAAGAAAACCATCAGAACTAAAATAAACACGCAGCCCGTTCCAGAATCCCAGCACCGCAGGCAGGAAAATAGCACAATCGTGCGCTGATGTCAACGCTTGTGTTTTGAATGTTTAACAGTATTGAAGCCAGCTGCAACTCTAGAATGGCAGGGTCCCAACAAGCCATAGGGCAACAGCTGATGCATTCAATGAGAAACTGGGGCTCAAGAACAGGAAAGTGCCACGAATAGCATACGAATGGCTGGCCTTGGCATGAAAAAATAATCTGAATGCTCCGCAGAAGACACTAGAAAGCAAGACTTGCAAATCAAGCTCCTCTTGGCAGGCACCGCTTGGGATGGGCACCAACTCGGCGTCTGCGCTTGTGGCGTTTCCCAGAGCCGTGGCGCCTGGAACTTCCAGAGCACCGGGCTCCAGGGCAAGTTGATTGCCGATGGGAGCACTCTCTTTGAGGTCATGAATCAGGAAGCGGTTGATCACACGGTCTTCAGAGACTTCTCGGAGGCTGAGCTGCATCTCTCCGAAAGCAGCGGCAGCCTCTTGGCACGAGCTTTCCAGCTTTGCCACCTGGAGACCCAGGGTTGCGAAGTCATCCTCCGCGACGCCCTCGTCCACGTAGAACTGGCAGCATTCCGCCTCGTCCGCAAGTTCTTCAGCGGCTTCGGCAACGACAGCAAATGCCTCCTCAAGCTTCTCATTGGAGCTGCATGTTGCCCTCAACTTCGCAAGTGCCTCTTGCAGATGCCCTGCCATGTGCTGGAATCCGGTACTGGTCCGCTCGTGATGTTCGATCTCTTCGGCCCACAACTTGCCAAGCATTCGCTTAAGCACGTGTCTGCCAGCATAACCGAGCATGCACAGCGCCAAGACCACACCTGAGAGAGCTGCAATAGGTGCCACAGATACCATTGATGTTGACAAGGATCCTATGGCCACCTGTAGCGAATTCACACTTGCCGTGGCCGCTGCTGCTTGTGAGGCAGCGGTGCTCATGGCCATGTGGGCTGCCGCAGCAGAGGCAGATGCCGCCGAAGCCGCTGCAGAAGCGGCATCCGATGCGGCCACAGCCACATCCACGCCATGCATTAGAAAGATGTCCAAAATCCCTGCAAGCCCGAGGCTCGTCAGCACGGCTTTGGGCCCAGCATGCGCACTGGCGCCAGTTGTTGCCACCTCGGCACCTGTAGCACTCTGAAGGGCATGGTTTGCGGATGCGACATCTGCAGCTCGAGCTGCGGCAGTGGCCTTCGCGGCATCCGCCTGAGCAGCCGCCACATGCGCGGACGCTGCTTTCTCGGTCACAAGCTTCTTGGCAGTTGCATAGGTTGCCTTGGCAGCACCCATGGCTACTGCCTTGGTCTGGTAGAGGTAGCCAAGGTAGCAAAGTGAACCCACAGAGCCAGCCAAGACAGCTCCGCTGGTCCAGGCTGCAGACTTCCCGATCAGATCGAAGAGCCAGAACCACCAATCGCGCCTCCCCTGCGTCTGTTGCAGGAGCTCTTGCGATGCCTGGCCGGATTTCTGGCACATTCGTGCAACCTTCTCCACCTCAGCGGCAAGCCTCTCAAGCTTCGGTCGCAGCTCAGCAAACTTGCGCTTGAAGTTGGTGGCTCTGCTGGCGATGCGCCGGGCCAGGCCCTCCATTCGTGCAAGGTCACCCTCTCTTGCGCACTCATGTAGTTGGGCCACATCTTTGGAGATCGCATGCGCTCTGGTGTCCAAGGCCCGAACACTGCAGATAGGGACATCCTTCAGCAAGTGCCTCAGGGATGCCGCCTCCTCTGAACGGTTGATTTCCATCAGTTTCGCGACGATATCTCGGAACGCAGCAACTTGTCCAGCAACATTCACCAAGGAGCGGTCCCTCTCCTCGCGCAGGAGGTTCCAGATAGCATTACGTACCCATCTTGGTTGTGAGCTTAGGTGGCTTTCTAGCTCCACAAAATCCGCATGGAAGTCACTTGGCGGGCTGAGATCTGCCCATGGTGCTGCCTGAAGCATGGGCGCGATTGACAGCTCTTCCATGAGGCCAACACCGAACCTCTACTTGCAGCTTTTGCAGCTGTTGCCGCTGTTGCAGCTGTTGCAGCTTGCACTACGGGACCTTCCAGGCTTCCTCGAGCCAAAAGGCTCGGCAGAGCAAGCTCAAACCATTCGAACACGACAGTTCGGGCAAAACTGGTCGAAGGCCCAAAGAAAGGAATCGAATCTAAGAACCCCTCAGGGTGCACAACAGCCTGCACCAGAACATGTGTGGAACCGCGTCATCCTACACAACACTGCATGACGATGGCACTATGCTCTTGTGGCCCTGGCGTAACCAAGGTTGACGATCGGCCACCACATCGTAAAGAACATCACCCGTCTCTTATTGTCTGTTCTTGAAGCACCAGGCGTGCTTGGCTGTCAAGTCCAAGCTTCAACTGCTTCAGGCATGAGCTGCACGTTGTGGCTGCTTGGGCGTTTACACCTCTGAGTGCAAAAGCTGCCAAATCGCAAAGCCTGCGGTCTGAGTCATCTGGTGGGGCAACACTTGCTCTGCTGAGGCGGTCTTTCGCCATTCCTGCGACGCAACTTCACTAAGTTGTGCAGAAACGCAGAGCATCTTGCTCCACAGCTCTGCAACGCTGGTCGCTGTCGCATCGCGAAGCACCAGTGATGAGCTTCGTCAGGAAAAAGTGGAGATCTCGCAGCAATTCGTTCCAGGCTAGAGCTTTATGATCATGGTGGTGATGGTGATGATGACCCCTCGACATCAGCCTCCACAAATCCCTCAGCGAGCCCCGGTTCATTAACCGGCTACGCGCTCCAGGACGCAAGTGGTGCGAGCTTAGCGCGCAGACCTCGAAACTCGCTTGTTCTGGGATAAGCCACACGCAACGACAGTAATGCAGCAACAACACGCAAAGCTCTCTGAGACGCAGGCTGCGAGCCGGTGCCTTGTAGCACGGTCCAGTTGCCGCAAGTATATCTCATCACGCGGCTCCAGCAAAACTGAGTAAGACTGAGCGCACGACGCGGCGAGGCTGTCGGACCTCGTCGAGCATCGCGGTGCTCGGCCTGATGCTGAGGTGAAGCGATGTGAGCATGAAGCGAAGCCTTGCAGACTCACACCTGCCAAGCGGAGCAAGCACCCAGAAAACAGCTCAACAGCCCCGACATCATTTGGTCAGTTCTCCAAACGATGTTCAATGTTCGGGTGCCTACTCAAAGACGGCATTTACATCTGGGGTCCTAACGAAAAGCAAGATCACTAACATAGCACTCCAACCAGAGCCTGACGAGCCACGTGCCCAGGCTGGACGCTTGAAACTTAAAACTTTCAATCTGTGAAAGGAAAGCCCGCCCCCTAACCCCGAAGGTTTCTTGTTCGATCATCCGCACCCCTACAGCTAACCGATCTGGAGATACCCTCCCGCTTTCGGACCAAAAGGGGGCTCTCTGTCGGCTCTGTTTTTGAAGTTGAGGGATGCTCGGATACTCGGGACTTTCGGCGGGCGTCTTTGGGAATGGGCAATCAGGGACACTGCGCCGGACTCTTTGCGGGTTTACAACCCTACACACCCGAAACGCTGTAAACCCCATTGCCTACATCCGTAGAATACTTGGCGCAGAAAGGCACCTCGCGGAGGGGCGGAAGCTTCTCGGAGGCACCTAAGCGGCTGTTGGCCTCGGACATCGAGCTTTGAAGGTTTGGGATTTGGGGGTTGAAGGGCTTTCGAATTGGAGGGTCTCAGGATGAAAGGCCGTGGGAACGCTTTCTCCCTGCTTGATCCCCCTCACAGAACCTGCAGCATCAACCCGAAAAACCTTCGCCTAAGCACCAAAGCTCTAAAGTTCAAGAGATCCCGAAATCCCGAGCAACCCAAAAGACGCTTGAACCCCGAATCTGCCCAGGAAGGGGCCACGAAGCATGAGCGCCAAAAAAGCATGTGAACCAGTGATGAACCGAGGCAGGGGGCTCTCAAGCCAGCCCAACATGGCCGCGTCTGACTTTCAGAACCACTCTCCACGCCCAAAGGCTCAGGAGATATTCAAGAGGAGGTTGAGGGTTTGAAGTACCCCGGACTCGTGGTATCTCGCCCTCTTGACCACAAAGCTCCCGGCTGCTTTCAGCAGCTTCTCCCGATAGCGCTGGTCCTCTGGCGCAGAAGTGCCAGCACTCAACAAGGCAACGATTCTTAAGGCCCTAGGCCATATCTGTCCACTGTTCATGGCTTGCATTCACAGGTTCACGGAAAGCTCGGAAGTCAAGATCCCAAAGCCAGTGCAGCCAGCCCTCCCTACTAACTCTTGGCGATCGCGGTCCGACGGTGGGACGACGACACTGGCAAGAGGCACCGAGCCGCCACACTCAGAATTCACCTGAGAGCCAGTACACAGATCAAGACAACTTGCTTGAACTACACCGTCTGAGAAGCAGTAACATTCGAGGCAGGCATGTGCACACCCATTGTAGAAAGAGTTGAGTTGTGGTGACATGTCGGAGCGATGGCTAGCTCCAGGTGGGGAAGATCAAGAATGTCTCGACTGTCATCAGTCATCCCTCACATGAAGCTCAGCCTCTGAATGAGCTCTGGCCCCCCAAGGGCCCCCGCGAGCAAGCTCCGGGTCTTGGGGTGTTCGGTGCCGACCCCGCCCTCCCCATCTTGGCCGGCCTGTGCCAGAGCACGGGTCTCAAGGGAACAAAAGCACGCAGAATGTTCACGAAACTCCGCCAGAGCAGGTATTTCTAGCCTAAAAGTTTACGGTTGCAAGCCTTACAAGCCGGGAATGAGACTACAAAGTGACAATCTGAAGAGACTTCCCCCAATTGCAAGAACCATCCCCAGGCCCAACTCGTTCGCCGTTGCACGACGTTTTCAACCTCCAAACAAGCGCGAGTCGAACCCCAAACCCGTCACGAAACCAACAAGCACTAAACCTTCTCCAACAGATCCGGTGAGCATTCTAAGCCCCACCCTCAATCCTGAATCCTAACTGTGTACCGCCTGCAGGGCCGCTCTCACGAGGGGGCTTGCCTCAAATGCTCGGGCATCGGCTTTGCGAGGTGTACAGTCTGATCTATCTCTGGAGGAAGCAGGGCAAAGCGGGCAAAGCCTCAGATTTTAGGGTCCCGAGGCCTGCGAACCGGCAATATCAGAGGGTTTTTGGTTCCAACTCGACTTCGACACATGGTCGGTCATCTGTATGATGGCACCCTGACAGGGAAAAAAACCTGCCGTCATTTTACAAGGGACCCAAGATGGGACCTTACTCTCAGAAGCACCTACGTCAGCTCGCCCCTTTTGCTGTCCCAGTCAGATCTACACCTTCGCAGTTGACACCACCCCTAAGCATTCTATGAAAGTTCAGCCCAAGCTGCAAAAAAACATCATGCCACATGCCAAAACTTTGTACTTTAGCCGATGAACCCGCACCCCGAAAGCCCGAGCAATCTAAACTGTTCCAAACTGCACACTTGATACTTTGATACGCAGAGGTAGCACTACACACCTGCAAACCAGCGCAGCGAGTATCTGAATCGCGGCACGTTCCGTGATCCTAGGAAAAAGAACGAGCACAAAGTCCAGTGCTGCCAGGGGTGCTCGGTTCACACGCCCCTGGAGCTGCTTCGGGCGGGACCTGTTCGGACCTCAAGGGCGCTTGGCAGGAGAGTCAAGAGGGGCTTTGAGGCTTTGGGGTGTGCCGGTCTCGACATCTCTGGGGTGCCCGGCTGCCCACTGATGCCATCAGCTCAATCCTAAGATACACGAAGCTCCTTCTGCCGCAATAGCATGAGAGAGGCCAAGGTATGAGGTTTCGGGAGAGGATGCAGGCCTCCCATTGCTCTCATACGCCATGACCAATTTCTTGGTCCGTTCGAGTTCTTGAAGGAACCTTGCCTCCCTGCCGAAATCACAGCGAGGCTACCCAGGGCGCCCGCTTCCGATACAGGGCAAAGGACTGCTCCGTAGCGTCCAGGCCTAGACGTGCCATCACAATCAGAATCATCAGAAAAGCAACATGTCATCAACTACCACAAGAACAGATATCATAATATCCATCACCACAGGCGCAAGACCAATAGCCACAACGATCATCAGAAGCAGCATTGCAAAGATTGAACGCGACGAAGGCAAAGACTACTTACTGGACGGCAAAGAGCGACTGCAAGAGAGGTATCGTCGGGAATCACCTGGTATCACGTGGTGCCTGCTATCACCAAACATGCCCGGGTAGGCCAGAGAATGCCCAGACATGACCCTGTATGATGGGTCTTGGCGTGCTCGTGTGTACTCGGGCGGCGGTCGCTGAATGCTGCTGCAATGGCAAAAGATCACGTCGCTTGACACTTCTTGGCAAAGGTTCAGAGCTGAATCTTTGAAGGCCTGGCTGTCTCCAATCCGGTGTAGTCCGGCGTCATCCCTGGATGATGCTCAACCCCGCCTGACTCTTCCATACCCACCTCTCCGAAGCCTTTCAACCCTGAATGCCTTGAGCCTCTAGACTTTCCCAAAAGAACGCTAGACCAACCGAAACCCCTCAGTCCCCCTCAGTCCCACCACCCTTCACCCCACGGCCCCGGCGCCCGAAGCGGGCATAGGTGCCATCGGGGTCGAAGAGCCGCATCAGCAGGGTGTTGATCCGCTCCTCGGCTCTTTCCGACTTCGGGGTGGAGGCGGTTGAAAATCTGGAGGTTGAGGGTCTCAAGGGTCTCAAGGGTCTTAAGGGTCTTAAGGCAAGGGTCTTAAGGGTGCAGAGCGCTCTGCCCCATCAAAAGCGCTGGAAATCTGCACAGCCGACCCCAGCTTCTAAAGCGGCCGGTGTCACTTCTCTGTCTTCTCTTGAACAGATCACTGAGGGGATGGCAATCAGGTCTTGTCGCGTCGCCCACTCGCCGCTCTTCTCTCCTAAGGCAAGCATATTGGTCAAAGGCAGTGTCTGAAGACTGTCTGAAGGGACCGCAAAGCAAATTCAGGCTCGCACCGAAGAGGCTCGGGTACTGCGACTCGAAGCAAACTTCCATGCCATACTTCAACCTAAGAAGAAAACCAGCTCACTGCACCGAAACCCTAGCGGCACCCTGACCAAAGCTGACCTCTAAATCTAAAGACTCAAATTGGACGTAAACCCTACACACAGTACATCGCAACCTCTCAGGCTGCAGCGTGAGCAGGACACAGGGCATGGCAAGGCTGTTTCCTTGCAGAGTCTCATGTTTTTTTTTGCTCTTTGAAGCCTGGGGCCTCGAAGCACCCTGAAATCAGAATCCAACAAAAGGGCACATCGCTCTACTCTGAGGGAAGAGCCCAACTTGGAGCTCTTATGCCGCCGCTCGAGCTTCACCCAGCTCCTTGGAACGGAAATGATCGGGATGATAGGGCTCAGGCATGTTCAGGGTTTAGGGCTGATAGGCTTCATAGGGCCCCTTTCTGCTCTGCAGCCTAAACAGAATCTCCAACTTGCCCATAGCCCGAAACCCATAAAGCTTACAGCCCGAAGGAAACCAACCCCGAAGCCTCAAAGGCCCCAACTCTAAACCCCGAAGCCCACACATACCCAAAACCCCCCAAACCCCCCCAAACGCCCCCAAACAAACGCAAACAACCCCAGACCTCAAACAACCCCAAACAACCCACAACAACCCCACACAACCCCAAACAACCCCAAACAGCAGCCCAAACAACCCCCCAAACAACAGCCCAAACAACCCCCCAAACAGCCGCCCAAACAACCCCCCAAACAATCCCAAACAACCCCAAACAACCCCAAAACAACCCGCGGGCAAAGCCGGTCTGGGAAGCATGGCTCGTGGGCCGTGGTGACGAGGCCCTGCAGCGCGAACCTCGGACCCGATCTCGTGGTTGACTATGACTTTTTGAGATTTTGGCAATCGGGACGTGTCGGCTGAAGATCTTCAGGAGCGGCTGTGGCGAGCACAGCCGCATTAAACTCACGAAACCTCTCCGCTCTCACCTCGTCACCCCAAGCCCCTAAAGATGTTCCCCAGCACCCGTGCACAAGACCCGAGCCAGAATAACGCACAGAAGAGATTAAGGCCTGGGGTCAAAGACCTAGGGCTTCGACTTTCAAGGTTTACTTCGAAAGACCACATCGGAACGCGGCTCCCACAGGGGAACCAAGGACCAGGCTGACTGAGTCGTGGCTGCTCTGGCCTGCGATGTCTGGGGGTTCGGGCTTACCACCTTGCGCAAAGCATGCCGCCTGTGGACAGCACTGATCAGCAACGACTAGTACCCTCGACTAGAAGTATTATTAATATACCCTGAGGATGTAGGTAGGTTGCAATGACGGTTGCAATGACATGACGGATCCTACAAGATTTCTATAGCCAGAAAATGGTGCCGACCCCAACGAGATGATACCCTGAAGCTGGAATTTCGATGATGGCCTCCGACAGCAGCTGAACGCAAGCCAGTACAGCAAGTGGGCCAGCCTCAGACCCCATCAGGCTCCAACTTTCCACACATTCAACTCCAAACAGTTGGCCTTTTCTCAGCCCGCTTTTAGGGGACCTGGAGCTTGTGGAGGCGTCTAGGAAGGTAGGCACTGGGCACGTGAAAGCTTTGAGAGCCGGACACACCAATGAGCTGGCAAACCTCTGTCCTGAGCGCCCTACGCATTGAGGGATCAAACCTTAAACGGGACACCTTTCACCTTACACCCCTCAGCACCATTCCTGCAATGCACTCAGATCTCCCAAATTTCAGTCGGGCCGATCCGAAAGCCCTCCTGGGCCTCCGGACTCCCAGAGCGACCCGCGCAGCTCCTCCAAGAACCTAGGGTTTCTGGGGATTTGGGGGGAACCCTTGAAGATCTCACATGGAGTGCCTCAGCCAGGGCTTTGACTGTGGGTCCTTCCGCCCACTGGAGCTCAAGAGCTCCAGGGGAAGCTGATTCTGCACCTGAGAAGCAGCTTCGTCCATGATTCCTTCCTCTCAGCAGAACTCTCGGCATCATGGGCACGGCCCTTGGGTCCCGCACCCAAGACTTCATCTGAACCTGGATCTGCCTGAGCGGCGTTGAGGGGCGCGCCTACGCATCCGATTTTGGAGAATGCAGCCGCGTGGCTCGATCTCGATGGACAGAGGCTCACACACCTGTGTCAGCCGCAAAGGGCAGTAGTGAAACCCCATGCCAACAAACCCCCAACAAAGGCCCAAGACCGGCCCAACCAAGGCCAAAAAGAACCTGGGACCCTGGACCAGCTCGGCCCCATCTCCCTGTAGCTTCATGTCGAGGGGGCCCTGCGGCGGCCAGGGCGCAATCCTCAGATATGGGTGTACCAGCTGCCATGACGTTCTTGTCTCAGGTGGCTTGGGGAATTTGGGGGTTCAGAGTTGCCTAGGTCCTAGGTTCCAAGCTCGACCTTTCCAGAGTCCGTTTTGTATCTCAACAACGGGATTGCGGATCCAGACCACTGCTTAGCAGCAGCCTGAGACGTCATCCGAATCCCCAAAGCCCCAGAAATGCCTGCACCCACTCACTGCTTCCTTTGCTGCATTGTGCTCAGGCCGTGGCTGTGTACGGCGGCTCCCTTCCTGCAGCCCCACAAGGCATCAAGGTACTAAGACAGTTTGGAGATTGGGGATTGAGGGTCAGGGGTTGTGGTCGTGCAATGTGGAAAACAGACACCCAGTCTGCCGACTTGTCCACCCCATGCACGGTTTGCTGCTCCGAAGAAAAGAGGAATCATCTTAGTGTTGCACTTGCATGTGGTGCCAAGACATCGCAACTGCGTGTTTGCAAGCTGGTGAGGCCAGACGTGTCTCAGACGTGTCTCTTTCGGTTATATAACGGCCTGCAGGGGGCGGTCGCAAGCGAAGGGCAAGATGTACTTCCCCTTGAGTGACTCCAGCTCCTGCAACGCGGCCATTCATTGATGAGTCCACAAAACTGAGCCCCGAAGAACCAGAAACTTTTGAGGGCATGTCGATCTTGTCCTGCTTAAAGCGCTGTTGCTGATCGCTGTCGAGGCTGCCCGCCGCATGGGTGCCGCCTCTATTGGTTGCGGGAGGGGGCATGAAGGCATATGAAGGTGGATGTCGGTGGCCTGTCGCCGCCATCGCGCGCCGCCGGATTCGTTCCTCGTACTCGGCCCTGCCCACAGCAAAGAGGAAGAGCTTCAAAGAAAGACGAGAAAAACAAAAGCGCAAAAGTGGAACCCCGGAAACTTGTCAGCCCGGCTTGTGCTTGCGGACTTCGGCCAAGGTGACATCGGCCTTCTGAGTCTGCCTGCTCGAAGTAAAGTGACACACAAAGTTACCTGTAGCTTGTGCAACAACACAACAGTGCAACGGTGCAACGATGCAACAATGTAACAGAGCGACAGTGTAGCAGGCCGAGGCCTGAACCCGTAGAAACATCCCAAAGCGTTTTTTGGCTGTAGGCTGCCCAGCCTCTTCTCTTCCGCGAACATCTTTGTCAAGTCCACAGGGAAGATCGTGCGCCTGCCAAGTACGGTTGCTCTGCTTCGTTTCATGCTGGCATCAGAACTTAAGAAAGGTCAACAACCAATTTCACCCTGGACCCCGAACAAACCCCAAACCCGACTGTAAGTGCCACCAAGGAGCTCTGGGACGTTCGGTGGCTCCACAGGGATGTCGTCCGCTTCTCCATAGAGGTGGGCGATGATGGCTGGAAGATGCTGGAAAGTGGGGGGGCCATGTATACTGAAGCACAGCGTAGCGGCGTAGCGTTTCTACTGCAGTGAACTCGTCTCATGCCACGCAGCCTCTGTCCAATGGTTGTTCGTCGTCATCTTCGTAGCCCACTCCTGCATGGCACGCTACTCCCATGCGTCAAAAGGAGGCACTGTGACATGGCCAGCTGATGCCAAGCGTCGATGGCGCAGTGGAGGAGCTATGCGAAGGGCAGACGCAAGACCCGAACTGGTGTCATCTGCCTCATCCCCAACGGTATACACCAACAGTCACCAACGTTCTATTTTGCAATGCGTTCATTGCACTCCAAGCGCTGTGCCCACATGGATTGCACTTCACAATCGTCCATGGGGCGGAACTTCAGCATTTGTGCCTAAAGGAAACGTACTGCACAAGAGTCCACAAAGTCCAATGATTGCATCTCTTCTGTGCTTTGCCTTGTTGGCAGACGTGGGGGCAATGCCCAGTTGATCCAAGTACCGATTGAAGTACTCATCCTCAAGGTCGTCTGGCGGGAGAATGTTTGTGGTGGGCAGTGAGCTGGAAAGAATCAAGGTGGAACAAAGAGGTGCGCAGTGTCCTGCACTGCGTTGAGTATGTCCTGCTGGCCTGAGACAAGATGGCTCAGGCAAGCCTCAACTTTAAGCAGATTGATTGCAGCTATGTCATACTTGTATGCCTACTAAGGCCCGGGCTGTGTCCAGACAAGTTTGCGCCACTCTTAAGAGGGATAACAACCTGCATGTTGCGACACGGTTCGAAGCTCTCTCACTGCAGTCCACTCAACACAGGCCGCGCCTCCATGGCCCATTCAGTATCTAAGGAAACGCAACATGGCTTTTGTCTGAAGGCAACGGGGCAGAAGCAAAGGCAGTGCTAACAATTCATAGAGGCTGGTAGCTTTACAAAGCCATATTGCATGTCCATGCTGCTCCATGCTGTGACAAGGATGCGGACGCTACATGACCGGAAGCCAGGCATCAAGACGTTGAGGGCCGATCACCTCTTCCTCTTCTTTGTCGAACTCTTCACTCTTGCTGTCTGTCTTGCTCATCATCATATTTATTCTTTCTCTGTCTCGTTATTCTCCTTACTATCTTCATGCCGAGGAAAGCTCACTCAAGCTCCCATATGGGAGGCAGCCGGACGGCTTAGTGTCAAAACGTGCCTGCTCGAAGTGTTGAAGCAACCACACCCGACCAGTGTGGATCTTTGCTCAATCCCAAGACTGAAGCAACTGCCTGCTTGTGCTTAGCTTCCGGTGGGTCCGGCGACCGCCAGAGAGTTGACACATTCTGCACGCCAGTCTGCCAGCATCTGCCCAGTCTCGCAATCCCAAAGCCTCACCTCGGGTCGCACTTGCCGAGCCCACCTCCATAATCCAAGGCAACTGCCCCATTCTGCCCCCCGTAGTCCTAAATTGTCCTACACTTTTTGGGCGCGTTGCGCAACTTACAACTTGGAGATGTTCCCCAGAACGTGGGCAGATGCGCTGCTTGTGGGACCTAGAACCATCTGCACATGTGCTTCTCAGGTTTTGGGGTTTGGGAGCATTAAAACCCTCTGGTGTCGCCCTGCTTCAGACATTCTTCGGCATGCAATGCACCGAGCAGCGAAGGCACTCCCTCATCTCCACAGAACAAACCTCAATTTTCGAAACACGAAACCTCCCAACAACACTCGAACTCCGAGACGCTCCCGGCTCGGCGTCATTGTGCAAGATTGCCACTTTCTTGCTGTCTGGAGTGAAGGCGGCGCCCCAATCTTCGGAGCCTCAGTAGGAAGTCGGACACCAATGAGCCCAGAACGCCCAAGAGCCCAAAGAAGCCAAGATGAAATGCTTCGGCCTACCGTGAACTCGAGAAAGTTCCTAGCACTGAACCCAAGCCTACCCTCAATTGGAGGTCGTGAACATCACTTCGTCTGCAAGCTGGCAGGGCACTGTTGATAACCGGGGGCATCTCCAGAACGTGCAGCTTCTCCCCTGTTTGGATGTCCCAAAGGTTGGCTGGGCCATTCTTTGTGGGGACGATCGCCAGTCGACCATCCTGTGAGATGGCCGGGGTGAAGATCTGGTCAGTCCCGAGAGGACCAGCTGGCTCTCCTACAGTGCAGCAAGAGAACCTCCTTATGCTCTAGTGAACCTCTGAGAGTTTCGAAGCTACACACGTGCAATGGGGTGGGCGTGTGAGACTAGCCAAGTAGCTCTCCATGCTGCGAAGCAATTCTCCAGACAGGCTGTCCCAAACATGAACGGAGCCGGTGTGGTCCACCGAGGCTACATGGAGGTGGCCGGGACTGGAAGGGACTGGTACCGGTGCTATGTGGGAGAGAATCATGCCATCTCTACAAGGAAATCGGTGTAAGAGTTCTCCCGTACTGACACTCCACAAAGCGCCTGCTCCTGTGTCGTTGGAGTTTGTCACGCCGAGGGCCCGGTCGTCGTCTAGAAACCTAAAACAACTCAACCCATCAGCCTCGAAGATTTGGACATGTGCCCCCGTTGCCGTATCCCAAATATAGGCAGTGCGAGGGTTTGCACCCGCGACCTTGCTTCCGTCAGGGGAGAAGGTCACGAAGTTCGTCCGAAATGTATTGGTTCTTGGGAAGGGATGGATGCCGGTGCCTGAGATGATATCCCAAAGCCACACGTCGAAGTTGGACGTCGTCACCAGTTTGGTTCCCTCTGGGGAGAAGTCTGCATGCATAACCTCGGGAATCAAGTATTTGACCTCAGGCGCTGCTCTCTCTTTTGGAGGCATCTTGGGTTTTTTCCTCCTGACCATCTCGACACGCGGATGCACTAGCACATGTATCTCCGAGCCCAAGCAGACATCCCAGACTCGCGCAGAGCCGTCATTGGAAGTGGTGGCAAACTTCTTCCCGTCCTTCGAAAAGCAAGCGAAAGTGACTTCGCCAGTGTGGCCTTCGAAGTGTTGCGCTGGCTCGAAAGCATCGACATGCCAAAGAAGGGCTGTCTGGGAACACGTGGCCAGTACTAGCGTGGGCGAGGAGTCCACCACCAGCAGCTCCGAACCATCCTCCACGCAGTCCTGAAGGATCTTATTATCCAAAAGCTGCACAGCACCTGGCTGCAAAAAGAACTTCCGCAAAGTTGCAGGGCCGCGCACTGCCTCCACTTCCACAAGTAGGTCCTGCAAAATCCAAGTTGGCTGAGCCTCAACCGTGAACACCGAGCCGGACAAGGGGGCGATGTGCAACTTCATTGCAGAACGGGACCCTCTTCCTTGCACTCAGCTGTCCAGCGTACCCTTGCATTACCGGAATCTCCGCACAAACAGAATAGCTAGAAAAGACGTCGAGCCAAGCAAAAAACCCAGAGTCCGGCACACCTACGAACGCCACTTCTTGCAAAGCATAGGTTTCCAAAAATCATATTGTTACTGTACCACAGGTGTTCCTGCAAAATCCAAAAAGATTAAATAAGCAAAACCCAAAACCATCCAAAACTCACCAGCACGGACCCACTACGACTACCTACCTACAAACCTGCGTGCCTACCTACATACCCAGGGCTTAGGGTGTAGAGCTTGAGCAACCACATCGTCAAGGCCAGCACAGAGGTTCACTTGATTTTCACAGCCTGCCGCTAAACCAATGGAACGCTAGACGGAATGCTGGAATTAAGAGGAACAACGGTGGGCTCAGCACGATCGAAACAGCCACCGGGTGTAGGGCCCAGGACCAACTAATCTTCCTTAAACATGACACGCTACCCCTGACTAATGCTGAGCGCCAAACCCCAAGCCCGCCATGCTAAACGAGGAACGGGATCAGGTGCCCGTACATACGGCGCTAGATGTGGGATTGGAACCGCAGCATCCGCAAATCGCGGCAAACATGTGTGCCTCCAAACAAGAGCACACATCAAACGGATTCTGGCATTCCATAGCTTCGGGCAGTAGAGCTCCAGCTGTCACGACGGTCAGGAAGATACTGAGATAGGACATGGTGAGTGCCACCCAGCTAGCCCGGGAACTGAACATGATGTCGAAGGCTTGCGTCAAGGGAAGGCCTTTCTTCAACCACACGATGCTGAGGAGGATATCTTCTGCCACCATCAACCCGGCCGAAATGCCCAGTCTCTCGAAGAGCTGCTCTACATTCACTTCTGCTTGGCAGCGGGCAAACATTCTCTGGAATATCAGTCGCTCCGAATAGAGTAGAGCGGGGAGCAAGGAGAACATGAGCGCGGTGCCTGTCTCCACACTCACTGAGACCTGGAAGAAGATCATGCGGACCATCTTCAGTTCGGACTTAAGCCTGTCGTTCATCGCGAACTTGGGCATCCACTGGAAGAGATACCAGAAAATCTTGTCGATCTCCGGGACGAAGTAGAAGCCTCCCATGGAGATGAGGACGTCCACAACAGCAGACAGTGCGAAGGTTCCGCGGCTCTTCAAGGTGAATAGTAACAAGCGTCCGGACGCCTGCGGCCAAATGCAAAAGATGATGACCAAAGCCGGCTTGGAGGTAATGGGAACATCCAAGGACCGAATCACGTGCCTCACCACCGGACCCAGCCCCAAAGACCAAATCAAGGGTCTGAGTGTGTATTTGTACACAACGATCACCAGGTCCGTACCTCCCCATCCATTCCAGATGCCAGCATCCCTGACAAAGAAGATGTACTCTACGGTGAAGGTGGTGGCTTGCATTAGGAGAGCGGATACGAGCACAAGAAAGTGCCGAGTACCCAAAACACGCTTCATCTTCATCGAGAAGGCGACAACAACTGGCAATATGGCAAGCAAGTTCACGGCCGGGTATGGCGCTGGCACGCAACTCGTGTCGATGGAGTCGTGGCCCACCAGCGCACCACAGATATTAAGCCATGCTATGACGATTGCATAAAACGCATATGCAATGCCAGGATACACCCAGTTCTCCTGCCAAAACTTCTCTTTGCCAAGTATCAACCTGGACACGACCCAGGCCGGTATGGCAACATTGAGCCACTTGGTCAAGACCTCCCAAAAGGGGTACCACTCAAAGTGGGCGTATGCAGTTGCGTGAAGCTCATCGCGACCCCATGGGAGCCAACTGGTGTAAATTGAAGTGTTCGTAATCTGCAAATCTGCGACCACTGTGCCTACAGCTGTCCGCTGACTAGGCCGAATGACTTGCGACATCAGCAGTGTCATTAGCAAAGTCGGCACGGTAACCACATACGCCATCGGGAACTGGCGCAGGACAACCTCCTTGATGATCACAGCACGCAAGAGGTAGCTTGTACTCTTCAAAGCCTGGCTGGCCATTTCGCTGGCAGTGCTGATTCTGCTGACAGACCTTTGGACAAGAGACTGTCGTCGACCCGAGGAGGCCTGCGAGGCCCGAGTGGTAGCCTCCGACACTCGAAGCTTATCCGAAGGATTATCCTTCACCTTCTCCACACCGCCCTCCAGGCATACTTCCTCGACATCAGCTGCACCTGTTACTGGGTCTGCAGCCTCGTTTTCAGCTGGCTCTTCATGGACTTCCCCAGCTTCCGAATCCATGGAGTCCGATGCACTCAAGGCTTGGTTCCCAAGGCCCTGAGGGAAAAACAGGCGCTATAAACTTTTTGTGGGACTGCAGACCTGAGCCTCAAAGCTGTAGCCATTTGATTCTGGTGTAGGGTTCATGTCACAACCTTTGCCAGCAAGCTCCGAAGAGATCATCAAGCGGAGAATGAAAAGAAAACAGCAACAGCTTCCTTTTGATTGCACAAGTTCATTTCCCAAATTTCAGTGAATGGCTTCCATTTCTTATCTAGCAATGTATGTGGTGTGTGTCTGTCGGGAGATGCCTTTTGTGTGCTGAAAAACTGTTTGTTGTTGATCATTGGTGTTGCCCTGACCCTAAATTAATTAAGCCCCAAACCCTAACCCCTAAAGCTTCCCGAACCCTAAACCTTAAACCCCAAACCCTACACCTGAAGCCTCTTGTGGCAGACGCAGGCAAAACAGCGAGAGTGGGAGAACCGAGATTGCGTCAGCTCTTTCCAATGCGAGTTGTTTTGCCGACGAGGACCCCGCCCCGAGCCTGGCCCTTCCTGTTCTTCCGGGCCCCGTCCTTATGAGCCAGGCCCTTCTGAGCCTGGCCCTTCTGAGCCTGGCCTTTTTGAGCCCGGCCCTTCTGCGGCGCTTCTGAGCCTGGCCCTTCTGAGCCTGGCGCTTTCACCTTCGGAAAAACTTTGAGCCTGACTTCTACGAGGACGTCGACAGCGAGCCCGTGGACTCTCATTGATCTTCGTGGCGGAGCAGGATGGCAAGGCCCCTCCGGGCATGAAAGCTCGGCAGTACAGCAGCGTCTGCCCCCCTATGTCACTTTCTGGTCTGAAGGCTGGCGAGAAGGAGACGGACCCGAACGAGGCCTGGCACAAGCTCATCGAAAGCATGCGGCAGAAGTTGCGCCAGTAGTTGCGGCAGGGCGTACCCGATTGCCTCGTCGGCAAGAGCTGTTTCGCCTTCGCGGAGCTGGTGCGCTACATTGCGCGAAGGGCCTGGACGTCGTGGAGGTTGACGCCGTGAACGCATACTTCCAGCATCTGGCTCGCCGCTTCCCCGACTCGGCCCCTTTCCAGAACTACGTGAAGCATCGTGAGGAAGTTCTGGGAGGATCTGCCACGCTTTCGGAGTCAGACGCGAGCAGGCCAAACACCTGATGATCGCTTTGAAGTCCTCGGCTACATCCCGGAGGGCGATGACCCCATGGCCGGCGAATGCGTCCAGGAGCTTCAAGTTTTTGAAACGGAGTTGAGGAAGGCCCATCGCCAGATCGGCCGAGCCATGAAGCCGGATCAGAAAGCCTGGCTCAGCGGGCGCTCTTGGGCGGGGGCGCGCTTCTTCGACTACCAAGACGCAGATGGTGATGGCGGCACTGCACGAGACCACGAACGTGCCAAGCTAGCTGGATGAGCGGACCAGCTCCTACGAGCGCTTCACGAGCCAGGGCTTCTGGGTGGAGCGACACATGGAGTGCTCGCAGAAGCAGATACAGGAGGTGCTTTGCCAAATCGGCCGCCACCCTCTCGCCTCGACGCCCCCGCAAGAGTGAAACTGCAGCAAAATTGATTGCAATAATAATAATAATAACAATAATAAGAATAGTAGTAGTAATAATAACAGCAATAATAATAGTGAGAATTATGATAGTAACAATGATAATAATAATCATAGTATTAATAATACTAAAAATAATCATAATCATAAATAATCATAATCATAATAGTAACAGTAATAGCACTAGTATTAATAATAATAATAATAATAATAGTAACAATAATGCTAATAATAAAAGTAATCGTAATGGTCATAGTAATAATAATAAGAATAATAATCATCATAATGGTAATGGCAAAAAAAATAATAATAATAAATAATAATAATAATAATAACAATAATAAAAGTGATAAGAATAATAATATTATTATTATTGTACTAGTACTCGTACTAAAAAATATACTCCCAGTCATGATAAAAGAAACAATATACTAAAAAAAGTACTAGTCATAGTAATAGAAATAGTAATAGTAATAGTAATAGCAATAATCATAATCATAGTAATAATATGGTAACAATAATGTGATAACAATAATCTTAATAATAATGGTAATGGCAATAGCAATCATAATAGTAATAATAATAATGCTAATTCTCATAATCATCATAATGATAATAAGAATAATTTTGATAATAAGAATAATAATGATAATCATAATAAAAATGATACTAATTGAAATAATGATAACAAAATAATGATAATAATAGCAATACTACAATTCATAATATTAGTCATGATAATATTAATAATATTTGTAAACGTAGTACGAAAAAATAATATTAATAATAATAATGATGTTTTTATAATCATAATGACAATAAGAATAATAATAATAATAATAATAATAAGATTAATCATAATCATAAAAGTAATACTAATACTTACATTAATTTGACTTAATATTGATAAAAATTATTATTATGATAAACATAATAATAATACGAGTAAAATAGAATATTCTTTTGGGGGCGGGCATGCTTGTATGGGTGTGTTTGTGTTTATTCCTGGAGTTTGTCCAGGCGGTGGTGGTCTATTTGTGCTCACTGGGGCCGGGGCCTGGCGGCTGTTTTCCGGCGCAAAGGTGATTGGCCTGCTGTGATGCGAAAGGATGAGGGTGGCAGGGCTGCCTCCCTTCCCTTTCCTGCAGCAAGGGCGTGAGTGGCCCACGGCGGCGGGTCTGCGGTGGCCGAAGGCCAAGGAGGTGCGACATTGGTTTTTCTGCCTGCCGAAGTGGTTTGGTTTGTTTCTTTCTTTTGCAAAGTGGTTCTGAAACACACCCTTTTGATTGAATTCTCTGTTTTTTTTTTTGCCGAAGTGGTGAAGACACCATTTAAGCTTGATCTGGACTCAAAGGGTGCCAAGAGACATTTTAAGACACCCTTAAGTTCAATTTTGTTTGCTTTCTGTCCAAAGTGGTGTTGATACACACCGTTTGAGGTCGTCTAAGACACCCTTTCTGCCAAAGTGGCGGTGAGACCACCTTTTTGGCACACGGCACTTTGCCGTATGGTTTATTTCGACAGGCCCGGTGATCTCATCCAGGCCGGACTGTTTGTCGAACGATCAGGAGAAGCCCATCGGTTTTGCCTGGCTTGGCAGCTTCTATGATGTTAAGAACTTCTTCCACGTTGCTTTCTTCACAAGGGGAGCCACGTCCTTACCTTCTGCGCTCCCCACATGCAACTGAGGCTGGCGACATCAAGATCTTCCTGAAGGCAGTGCTGTGGAGGCCACTTTCATGGGGCTGCATCCCGTTACCCTTCGGCGAAGGGGGCTTCGAAGCCTTCGAAGCCTTCGAAGCCGAAGGGTCGAAGGGGGGGGGGGGGGGGGAGGGGGGGGGGGGGGGCGGAAGGTCTGAAGGCTTCGAAGGCTTCGAAGGTGAGGACGAAGGCTTCGAAGCCTTCGAAGAGTGAGGACGAAGGCTTCGAAGGCTTCGAAGGGCGAGGACGAAGGGGCTTCGAAGGCTTCGAAGGTGAGGAGGAAGGGGGCTTCGAAGGCTTCGAAGGGGAGGACGAAGGGGGGGGGGCCTTCGAAGGCTTCGAAGGCTTCGAAGGTGAGGACGAAGGGGGCTTGAAGGCTTCGAAGGGTGAGGACGAAGGGGGGGGGGCTTCGAAGGCTTCGAAGGCGAGGACGAAGGGGGCTTTGAAGGCTTCGAAGGGGAGGACGAAGGGGGGGGGGGCTTCGAAGGCTTCGAAGGGTGAGGCATCTCCAGAGTCTCACGGCTGCGCCCCCCCCAATCCCCCCGCTCTCCACTTCCAGAAACAAAAACACTCTCGTCTCTACTCCTCTGATCTTCGAATAATGAAACAAAAAAAACAAAAGAAGATTCGAGGGGGGTAGAATTTAGAATACATTCCCTTCTCCCTTCTCCTTTGAGTTTTCGAAGAATGAAAGACGAAAAACAAAAGAAGATTCGAGGGGGGTGGAATAAATTCCCTTCTCTCTCCTCCTCTGATTTCTCGGGTAATGAAATACAAAAAACAAAACAAGATTCGAGGGGGGTGGAATTTAGAATACATTCCCTTCTCTTTTCTGCCTTCCTCCCACTCCGCATTCTCGCTTCTCCCTTCCTCCCACTCCCTCGTCTGTGATTTAAAATAAAGTCTACTTCTATGAACAAAAACCGTCTCGTCACGACTCCTCTGATTTTTCGAATAAAGAAATACAAAAAACAAAAGAAGATTCGAGGGGGGTGGAATTTAGAATAAATTCCCTTCTCTCTTCTCCTCTAATTTTTCGAAAGATGAAATACAAAAAACAAAAAAGAATCGAGGGTGGTGGAATTTAGAATACATTCTCTTCTCTCTTCTCCTTTCCCCCACTCCACATTCTCTCTTCTCCCTTCCTCCAACTGCCTCGTCTCTATATAATTTAAAATATAATCCCTTCTCTCTTCTCCCCTTCCTCCCACTTTACAAGAAATAAATGGGGGGGGCTGCGCCCCCCCCAACCTCCCCGCTCTTTACTTCTAAAAACAAAAACAGTCTTGTCTCTTACTCCTCTGATTTTCGAACCATGAAACACAAACAAAACAAGATTTGAGGTGGAATTTAGATTAAAGACTCCTCTAATCTTCGAACAATGAAACAAACAAAACAAAAGAAGATTCGAGGGGGGTAGAATTTAGAATACATTCCCTTCTCCTTCTCCTCTAAATTGTCGAAAAAAATACGAAAAAAAAAAAAGATTCGAGGGAGGTGGAATTTAGGGAAGGGTGAGAACGAAGGGGGAGGGGCTTCGAAGGCTTTGAAGGCAAGGACGAAGGGGGGGAGGGGGTTCGAAGGCTTCGAAGAGTGAGGGCTTCGAAGGAAGGCTTCGAAGGCGAGGACGAAGGGGGGCTTCGAAGGTGAGAACGAATGGGGGCTTCGAAGGCTTCGAAGGTGAGAACGAAGGGGGCTTCAAAGGCTTCGAAGGTGAGGACGAAGGGGAAAGCTTCGACGGCTTGAAGGTGAGA